AGAAGCTTTGCTTTTCCTGATCAGACTGTCATGTGACTAAAACTACCTTTCAAAATAAAAGCTTGAATTAAACACAGAGGGCTCTATTTTGGTGCCTGCCTGTGGCGCGGCGGAGGGATGCGGACCCCGTACAGTGGTATTTTCGTCTGGCAGAGCCCGGCGTACAGCCAGTTTGGATTTTTCCATAGACTGAGGCGCACCGAGGTCTGCCAAGCTGGGCGTGGTGGCACGCAGAGGGAGGTGTTGACAGAATCAGCTGACGCAGTGACATTTTCGTGCCCGCCGGCGGAGTGTAAAGTGCGCTGAAAGCTCGCTGATTCAAACCTGGTCAGCTTTCAGCGCAGGCGGAGCGCAGCTGGTCTAGTGGTAGACCGGGGCGTAGTGAGCATACGTCACCAATGCCTCACTGGCAGGTTTCCACAGTGTCAGGCACATTTTAATGCAATAAATAATCAACAACCAACATTCTGAGTCAGCATACATTTAGATCTATATAAATATTCTGATCTATATCTGATCTGATGAGCGTGTTTGGCACGCGTTTGGACACACAGCCACGAAACAACACAGCTGAAACCGCATCAAATTAAATTAAATATCTAGTAAATAGACACACATGATGAAGTGAACAAGATATTTAATTCGCGACACTTGTTGAGGGGCTGCCTTCTGTTGCCATCGTGTGGCATTGCTGTCTTCAGCCATCTCTTGATCTCTTTGACTACTTCACGATAATTGTAATACACCTCGCCGGTGGCGGAATTAAAGGTTAGGAGAGGAGCTTATGTGATTGGCGAAAACAGGTCTCGGCTGTGTTAAACCCACTCCACGCCTTATCCCCTCCCTCCCTACGACTTACACCACTGGTAGGAGCTGAGTTAGGAGGGGGGGGGGGGATACTTATGCCAGGCTGCGCCGCTCACCAAAATACCAAAATGTGCTTGGGAACACCTTATCGATGCAGCGGACCTGACCACGCCTACGCCACGCCACCGGCAAGGCACAAAACTAGAGCCCAAGGTAATGAGCTACTCTTAAATGCTGATGGGCAGAGAAAAACAAATACAGGCAAAGCTCACAGGAAACATGACAAATGTATTGTCTATTTCACTGGAGATAGTGAATAAGACCCTCACTTTGTGTAAAATATAAACAGTTATAATTCTCAGAGACTGGCCAAATTTGATTCAAAGGCTGGCCTCTAATTAAAGCCTTCCTCATAGAGGCCTGCTACCTGACCCAGTAAAACACATAAAAGATCTGGCCTACAATTTACAATTTACAGTATTTTTAATATGCAGTAATTTATTTGTTTGAATTTTTTCAAACATATATGTGAATAATATATTTTGGTATGAAAAGTTTAATCATCAAAATCAACAGTTTGTTTGTGCAGATTAAGATTTATTAACAAATACCTAATTTGGTTTACACTCCAGTATAAGTAGGAAAAGTTGCAGAACAAAGTTTTAAGTCGATGTGCACATGTTGATCTTGTTTGCAGCTTCAAAGTGATAATGAGGAGATGTCTGCCTGATGGTTATATCTTTGTCTTCAGTTTAATTAGATTATTAATACTGTTTTATACAACCTGTGGAAATATACACTTATGGTCCACCATAGACATAACAGGGTTTGGGTCAGAAGGAAATCATTTACACCGCTTTACTGTCAGTATATCAGATATAGGAAAGTATGGAGGCAGGAACTAAAAGCAAAACCCTGGGTGTGACTTCTGCGTAGAGCTCCCTATAATTGCTTTAACTTGTGCTAGCTTTAAAGATTTAAATAAACAAGGTGAGACTTTTTAATGGGTTTTATTTTAATGCTGGTGGGCAGATTGCTAACTTTTGAAAGCATGAGAAAACAACCTGCTGTCAGTCTTTGAACTCAGCTGATGCAATGCTGTATTTACTCTGTAAGAGTTTGTGCGAAAGTGTTGATCCTCATATCTACCGCCTCAAAGCCAAGTCAATAATCAGGAAAAATACTGAGCTTTATACCATAACAAAATACATCTAAAAATCCTACAAATGCATATACAAATACACATGATATGTTCTGTGTATGATCTTTCTTTTCCTGTTTCATCCTAAAATAGTTCATCGCCGCCACACCAACAAGAAACTTGGACGGCAAACTATTTACTGGTGTTACAGCCTCATCATGCAGTTGTGATTGCAATCAACATAAAATATCTCTGAAGGAAGTGTGTTTTTTTTCCTAATATTTTCATATACATGCAAATTAGGCCAACTGTTTGGTGCTGATGGCTGTGGGATCTTTAAAAATGTTGATAATCACAGCAACAGTCATCAGTCTGGTCTAGTTTGGCCTGATCCTCAAAAATCTGGGAATATTATTGGTTGTGTTTGTTGGTGTCTATGTAGTGTGTGTGAGTATATATTTATGTGTGTATGTGTGTGTGTTTAAGAACAAGCACGTCTCTTTGTGTTTCAGCACCATGTGCCTGGAGGCTTCTGTCCTTTCTTGCCCGTCTCCCCAGGCATAAGACCCCTGTCTTGCCTGCCATTTCTTAGTCTGACAGCTGAGAGCAGGACACTGAAGCAATGAGGAAAGAAAGAGTAAGAGGAAGAGCAGAGGGAGGTGGGGGGAAGGAGAGAGAGAAGTTGAATTTGAGGAATCTGGTGAGTATCGAGGGAGAAAGTCCCCCCTCTTTGGGGACCAGGTGCTCTCCTTCTGAGAGGGCATGATCGGAAGAGACCAAAAAAGAAGAAGAGGCCTGCCCCCTTCATGTTTCACTTGGCATCCCTGCACCTGCATCTGTAGTGTCTGGAGGTGCAGGTGTGGAGGTAAGGAGGGGAGGAGGGGGAGATGCAAGGTGTCAGATAAGGCTACTACCTTTGTTGTTACAGCGGCCCGAAGCAGACCTCCATGCCCTCTCCAGCACCCTCCACCTCTGCCTGACACATACATCCTTGTAAAGGAACGCCATAGGCTTTGAGTCAGCCACTCCAGCATTTTTCTCTATTCTAATTTCCTATCTCTTTTTTTTCCACAGATGGCCCGTTACATTCTCCTCAGCTGTTACTGTTTTAGCTGTTTTTGTGACAGGCAGGCATCTGTATCGTTTTCTGTGGCCTGTATGCTTTGAAACTTTTAATTGGTTCAGTTTTACTTAGAGTTTGGCCACTGCATCCACTCTAACTTTAAATTCTCTATTAAATCCATTGGAACTGTTTTCCCTACAATAAAAAGACTGTTTCCTTCTTCTTTTTCTGCTTAACCAGCATTACCCTAACCCCTTTTTTGCTTTGCACGCAGGCAGCCTTTGCTCTCAGTGATGTTTGTTCTTTTATAGTAGTCATCCTTGCTCTGCGGTTAGCCTGTTTGTCTCTGTCAGGCATGTTGTGTTAGCGTAGCGCTTGAGGCTGAGGTCTGTCCTCCACTGGGTTGTTCCCCCCTTGAGGTCAGGGCGTGAGTCAGAGGCCTGATTCCGTCACCCCAGGTTACCAACTCACTACTTCCTGTCCAGAATATAGAATGAGAGGGGGTGGTGGCTGAGGGGAAGATGTTTCAGGCCCTGTGAGTGAGTGTGTGTGTGTGTGTGTGTGTGTGTGTGTGTGTGTGTGTGTGTGTGTGTGTGTGTGTGTGTGTGTGTGTGTTTGAAAACGAACTATAATTGTCCTCTGCACAGACTTTGTTTAGCCAAGAAGAATAGCATATCCTCTCTTTGTATTCAGAGTGGTCTGTTAACATAGTATATGATTGCTTCTTTCTCTAGACTTTTAAATAACACATATTCATCATGCAGCTACATAGAAAAAGGTTGATAAGACACTAAAGAGGCGTGGGTAATATTTGTTCTGTGTGTATCACTTCCATCTAACAGTTTTTTCCTTTAGCAGCTAAGCAGCTGATTGGACAAAATGTGCTGAGCCAAATGAAAGGACCTCCTGATATCAACAGTTTTGGTCTGGAGGACACCATGTCCATGGTTTCCAAAAATCTATTTGAAACATGGACTCCTCAGACCACAGCAGACTTTTCAACGTAGGGTCAGTCCATCTCAGATGAGCTTGGGTCTAAAGAATCTGGGTCCTATTCTACGAAGCAAGTTCAACCTAGCGAGGTAGCCTCGAAGCTACCTCATTCAACTTTGCGCGGTAGCCAGCGGTCTCGCTAAACGGTCTTACGACACTGGTTATCAACCTCGTAAGAGGATCCAGCTTTGCTATGAGCACGTGCACGCATGTAAGGCGGAGCCCGCCGCATCTGACCAATCGTGAACATGGACCAGTCTGGAGCGTCAGAGCAGGCCGGAGAGCAAAGGACCACGTACTTTACAAACGAGGAGCAAGAGACGATCATGAGAAAGTATGAAAAATTGAAATCTATCATAAACCTCAAAAGCAACACTGCCACCGCTGCTTCAAAAGCACAGAAGGAATGCTGGCAGAAAATTGCAGATAGTCTCAATGCGTAAATATAGTGCGCAAAAAATCTTTGATGCCATTATCACCCTGAAATAGCACTGCTCAACATGCGCTTTTAACATGCACCAGACATGTCTAATTCATTTCCAAGATGAATTCATTCATTTGTTCATTCCTTTTTTTCATTTTTTGTGTGATATGTGGACCATATGAGCCTTTCATTAAGATGGTCATTCGGAAAAGTAAGTGGGTCCATGCGGTCCCTGAAAACTCTCACGCGCCGGAGTGCTCCTCTGACAATGCGAGCACCGAGGTCTATAGGATCCTCCAAGAGTGGACAAGCCATTTTTCGAGAGAGCTCATTGGTCAGTGGGCGGAGTTTTTATAATCTGTGAGTTCAATCAGGAACTTAACCTGCCCCGGAGCAGGTTAGCCGTTCAGCATACATTGCCGTGGAGACTCGCCTCGCTAAGAAGTGAACCCGCCTCGTAGAACAGGAAACCCCGAACTTACCCTCGAAGTTACCTCGCTAAGCAGTAATCCTGCTTCGTAGAACAGGCCCCTGGTGTGTAACACTGAACCAAAGAAGACCCAGATGCAGACTCTCAGGCAGGCAAAATCAATATCAGTTTATTCTAAAAAAGAGTCAGTACACAGGATCCAAAAAGGCAAGGCAGAGGTGTCCAAATCAACAGGCAAGCTTATGCCACAATGGACAAGACAAACTGGCACAGAGGGGAAGAAAAGCTGGGTTTAAATACACCAGGACAGTGGAGTTAAGAAGACACAGGTGAGACACATCAGGGTAATCAGGGGAGCAGGTTACACGAGGAGGAGGAAGTCAATCGATCAAGAGACAAGGGTGAGTATCAAAAGAAAAGAGGAAACACGAGACAAGAAACATGAGGGATGAAAAAAAAACAACTTAACTAATCAGGAGATGTGACCTGGCAGTGTCTCTGTCTGTTGTTAATATCTGTCTTTGTCTTTGTATGGTAGAGTTTGAACTTGTAGATGTAGAGACCAACTGTGTTGACTGACAATGGTTTTCTGAAGTCCTCCTGAGCCCACGTGGTTAAATCCATTACAGAATAATGTGGGTTTTTAATGCAGCGCCACCTGAGGGGTCAAAGGTCACAATTATTCAGCGTTGGTTTTGCGTCTTGCTGCTTATGTGCAGAGATTTCTCTGATTCTCTGAATCTTTGGATGATTTTATGGACTGCAGATGATCAAATCTCTAAATTCCTGCAGTTGTAGGTTGAGAAACATTACTCTTAACCTGTTGGACTATTTGCTCACGCTGTTGTTGACAAAGTGGTGAATCCATATTTATGAAGAACTGAGCCTTTCAGGGATGCTCCTGACCCTCACCTGTTTCCAATGAACCTGTCCACCCGTGGAAGGTTACAAACAGGTGTCTTTGGAGCAGTCCTCAGTTTTCAGACTTTTGTTGACTCTGAACCAACTTTTTAGGAACATGTTACGACATCAAATTCAAAATAAGTGAATATTTGCCAAAAAAAAAAAAAAACAGTTCAGTTAATCAGTTTGAACATGAAATAATTTCTCTTTGTGGTGTATTCAGTTGAATTTAAGTGGGAAAGGATTTAGAGTTTGAATTTTTCAGTCACTGTAGGGACATCGATGGGGAAATAATTGGCAACACCGAGGATCAGGATTTAAGTTTACATTTGAGGTATTGAGTGCTAGACAAAAACACAAACACTTTATGAGTCAGCAATGCCAAACAGGTTTAAAATAAATATATGCAGACAACAGTAGATGTTTGTGCAGTTGTAGTGTGATTTGTTCATGATGTGGTGTTTTCTCATTGGTCCATTTGTCAGTGTATTTGTTGTTTTTATTATTGTTAATGATATTGTATTTATTCAGTATGGACTAACTCCTCTTTTGTCAGTGTTTTCTTTTTTAACAGAAGCTTTCTTATATATATTTTCCTTATGTTTTAAATAACTCCTTTCACTTGAATCACACCGTGTCTCCTCTTACTTTCACAGGGTTTAATTTTTATTGTTCCTCCCTTCCTCCCCTAACTATCTTTGGGAAGCATAGCACAGAGCCCCAGCAGAAGATTACCTTAGGAAACCAAAGGAGAAAAAAAAGACTCCTCTTGGGAGCTGATAAGAGGAGCAGAGATGAAGGTCATTTTGCCCTGCATGGTTCTGGTACAGTCCGTCCACATTATTGTGGAGTTATCAGAGTGTAAAAGATGCTTTCAACAGCATTTTTAATAAGACCTGGGGAAGGAAAAAAAGATAAGATGACAGACAGTTGAGTGCAGATCTTTTCTTTTCTTTTTCTTTTTTTACTTCTGAACCTTCTTCAGTCAAACCAAAGGCTGGTGATGTATTCAGATTTGATAAATGCTGTTTTTTCTCTGTCTTGAGTGTTCAGAAGAGTCACCTCTGACTCTAGCTAGCTACAGTGTAACCTTGTATATTGAAATATCTATTAGACACATATTTTATACTCATGAATTTGTGAGGTTTTTTTCCCTTTTACCAGTGCATCTCAGAGAAACATGAATTTAACAGAAAACTGATTCATGCCAACAAGTCCACATCTTGTGTAATGTCATTAAACCATCCAAGGTAACCATTTGGCCTAGCTGGCACAAAATGTTAAACCAGCCTTACCTGAAGTGGAATGAATAAAAATGTATTGTTAGCTGGACTTGGTCAGAGGGGCTGCAGACCTTCTGTTCAATGCACACAGAGTACATCCAGGTCAACAGGACAGTGAGGCTATGTCTCAGGTCAATAGGTTGTTGCAGATTTAACCGGCCAGCAGATAAGAAAAGAGATAGGAGGAAAAATGGGCATCCAAGCGCACACTGTAATAGCTGTCTGGTCTGGCCTGATGAGGTAGCTGGGGAATAGAGCCCAAGGATCCCTGAGTGTGTGTTTGTGTGTATACGAGTTTGTGTGTTGACTGATGCAAGAGATAAGAGAAAAGAGACAGCATGGCAGCAAGTGCTTACATGTGTGTTTAGCAGGCCACGCCATGCAGTGTGTCAGTGGCAGGATGTGTATGTCTGATGAGGTGTCTGTGTTGAAAGGTGATAGGGCCAGACTGTGCAAATGATGTCCGATGGGTCTCTTGAAAGTCTATTTAGCCGGAGTAATGAAGTGCGTCTGCCAGGGTAAGAATATGAGCGACAGTCTCAGAGGCTCAGACAGACAGGCAGGTCACCTCACTCAACCTTGTAGAGAAGAGGCAAGATGGACAAGATGATTCAGGTGTAATGGCTCTTTTCCTCCCTGTCTGCTACGTAGGCGCCTGGAAGTACAACCAGATCAGGTGGAGTTACAGCCATTGATAGAGTGTCAGTCTCCATCAGACGGTTATCTGGAACCAGGGGCGCCATGCCAAACAAGTAAAATACTCAGACTTTTTATTATTATTATTATTTATTTATTTATTTATTTATTTATTTATAAACTACAACTGTTATGAACGGTTTTATTAGTGATAACCTTGTTGTGGTTACAAATGTACTTTTTAAAATTCACCTGTCTTCTCAGCATCTTTACCCTCCTGATGAACATCACCATTACTTTCCCTCTGACAGTTCTTAAAAAAAAACAGGCCATTAAATATATAAATATATATATATATATATATATATATATATATATATATATATAAATATAAAGAACAGATTGATAATTGAAAATACAGGATTTGACATTTAATAAGACTCTAGCTCTACAGTTTAAATGACTACAGTTGATTCTGTCTTCAGACTTGTGTGATAAACATTAATGTTATAATGATCGTGCCTCACCTGCTTGAACAGGCATGATTCTCCTGCTTAAATCTTATTTAGAAGGGGGTTGGATTTGAAAAGGAGGGTTGTTTGCATCCCATTCTTGTTCACTACAGTCTACTGCGTCTAAAACTTGGAGTTTGATTTTTTTAAACAGTTTTCTGGGCTCTGGATAATTCGAGCTAAAATGAGTAAGTAGTGAATATCTGATCATTAATGCTTCAGAATCCAAGATTTTCATAAACTAGGAGTTTATCTTTGGACACATTACTAATCAGTAATTGACTGTATTATTGTTTATCAAAACATGATTTTTCTTCAATATAATTGGATGTGATTTAGTTGTAATACTGAAGTCACACATGTTAAGGACACACTTGCCAATACCTTAGTATTAGCATGTGGAAAAAAGCCTTAAGGGAATTAATAAAGTATTGTGCTTTACCCTTTACCCGTTTTACCCTGTTTTCTTCAGACACAGTTACTGAAACCAGCTTTGCCCTTTCTAATTCCTCCTTTTTCTCTTCCCGGACAAGAACATGAACCCTGTTGAACAGAGATTTTAATCTTAACCCAAGGCTATTCAACAACGTGAGCAACCACCAGATCAGTCACATGAGGGAGTCTTATGTGCCCCTAATGGTAAAAGAGGGCTGTCTTGTGACAGACAAAAACAGATCGTCTCTCTTTTTAGGCTCTCAGCTGAAGGACAGCTGTGCCTCCCAAGTGACCCCAGACTTCCCTCACAGAAGTAGATCCAAACTCCAGCATTCCTCAGCCTCCCATGCCTGTGATCTTGTGGCCAGGCCAAGTAAAGACTGTACTCTACTGCAGGGCCGGGATTGGGATGTTTAAGGAAACTGACAGAAGTCTGAAGTGACAGGCACCAGAGAAGTTTGATTTTCCTTTTTTGAAGAGCTATCGAGGTCAACGAATGAGGAAAGTGGAGCAAAACCATGCTGATCACATCTTGAAAGATTCTTTTGGGACAGCTGAACATCCCCTCATAAAAATTAATGTGCTAAAAACAAGTGTGAAAGAAGAATACATGCTCTGTGAGGATTTTAAATAATAAACAGGTTAGTGCATGGATCCTACAAATGGTTCACAGTTGTTGGAGTTCAACACTTGTACAACACGTTTCCTCTGACTAACAAAAGAGCTGCTTCGGTCCATGCTTGATGTTTTTTTTTTTTTGCCATGCTTTAGGTGAAGAAAGGCAGTGTTGGTCTGTTTGTCAAACAGCTGTCCCGAAACTTTGAACAGAACTTCTAATCTAACATATTGACCTTTTTTTAGTTAGTGAATGGAGCGATCTTTGGTAAAAACTTTCAGTACCCACTTTTGACCAAAATCTCCCTCTCTCTTTCTCCATTTCCCCCTATCCCCTCCCAAAACCCAGCTCAGTCTCAGCAGATGACTGTCTTACATGAGTCTGGTTCTGCTCAAGGTCTCTGCCTGTTAAAGGAAGTTCTTTCTATAACTTGCTAATGTGTTTTACTCATGTGGTGGAAGTGGGTCTGATCTGAGGCTCACTCTGATCCCATCTTTACATCAGGTCTTTGTAAGTACAATATGATCCAGACCAGCTGTTTCATTGAGCATCTTGGTATGACACTCTGTGAATTGCCACTAGATAAACAGAGATCGATATTTTTCATACAGGGCCGCAATCAAGTCAGTTTGAGCAATACTTAGGTACATGACAAAATTCCTGCATATTTTTTTTTAATTTCCATATGCTTTTGTATTCGTGTTAAGCATCAAACTAATTAGCAAATGCTCCTCTGCAAACATGCCAAGCTCATAACACGGTACGCATTCTTACTGCCTTAATTCAGCATCAGTGCATAAACTGTGTCCAATAGGCATGGTTACCCTGGGGGGTTGCACAGCCTCTGCTGGCATTGCCACAGGCTCTTCTCCTTTGATCAGTAACATGATATCATGATAAAGTAAATGCAACAAAACACACACTAAGGGACCTTAATGACACTTTTTTATTCATCACCACTCGACCTGTGTGTGTGTATGTGTGTGTAAGTGTGTGTGTGTGTGTGTGTGGCTGTGCATGTGTGAGTGTGCACGTGTGCAATACTTAGCACCTCACCATGTACTAACTGATTATGTCCACAATTATCTATGTTTGTCCCTCTCTTAGTTGATTGTAAAAACCTGTTGATATCTAGCTCCTTCCTGTACATGAACACAGATTCTGCTATTAAAAATACACAACAGGCCAAAAAACTCAACTGGTGTCTTTGCTACACACAACAAGGCCCAGCGTCTGTAAACAGTGAAAAGTAACAATCAAAGAAGAAACATCAACTTAATCCTTGGTTGGTGTTAAAGTGTTGTTTTTTTTCTGCTGACTCAGCACCCCCTTATCTGAAATGGTGTCTCGATATTGTAGCACTTGGTATTATTAGATTGAATGACATGAGGAGGTGTAGAAACTAACCAATGTTTACACAGTTTTCAGAAAAAAAGTATATTATATATATTTATATATTGATATATATAGTTATATATAGATTTATATTTATATATACGCTTTAAAAATAGCACAGTAAACACTTTGCACACATGATAAAACCACTGAGTGTGTCTGATTGTTTATGTATAGGCCAATGGCGAGAACTACATCCTGGTAAAGGGTCATTTCACTTTCTCTGCAGTCAGCTCAGGAAGGATTTCAAAGCTTATAGTCACTAGTTTAGAAATGAGAAAATTCACATTTGCGATACTTTATTGTAAAAACGTAACATTGGTTTCATTGAAGGTTTTTTTTTTTTTCCTTTTTTTCTACACAGTGTTTGTCAGAATCTCCTTCCTGAAGTGGCTAAACTTGAAAAAGGACTGAACCTGTCTGGAGAACCTCGTGTTCCTGTCTGTAACGATTAGTTGGAATATGTTAGAGTCTGCACACTGTAACCACATAGAAAGAACAACTGAAACAAAAAAGAAGTTATATAAAGACAGTCAAGTAGAAAATAAAATAACAGAGTTACGGATTTATAGTACTGCACATCATCGCTGCTTGTTCCCTCCACTTCTTTTGTAATGTCATTTTACACCTGTACAACACCTGCACTGATCCTCCCTCTGTTCGTCTAATCCTCTCTCTCCCCCTCCGTCCCCCTCCTCCCGAGTCTCTGTACAGTTGGCTTAGTGGTGACCGTAGAAATACTGTAGGTAAAGGGTTCTGTGTAACATTGGTTGAGGTTTGTACAGAAACAGTAGTTTTTTGTTTTTTTCTTCATGTAAACAGGCACACACAGATTTCTAGAGCTTAACTCCAAAATGTCCAAAAGACCCCCGCCCCCAAAAAAACACCACATTGTAAATCGGTCCCTCGTCTTCTCGTTTTGTACTCCTGCTCGTGTCAGTTCTTCGTTTCTGCTGATGACTTAATAATTTCCACATGTCAAGTGTTGTGGCCCTGATCTCAGTCCTGCTGAGAAGAATAAGGCCTTGGATTGCTCCTCAAATATCTAGAGCTTTACGGCTACTCAGTATTTACGCTTTTTCTCCTCCCTCGGCAGCCACTGCCAAGGCTTTGTTACAGCTCGCCACCCCAGATAATGAAGCTTAACCAAGGTTGCTGTGTCCAGGTCGCTGTTTGTTTAGTTTTATTTCGCTGTCTCTATCATCAGTGTTGGTGGTCTAGTACAGAAATTCACGCTGTCTCCGACAGGTCCACATGGAACGAGCTAGCAAATCCTTTTGCGGGCTGGAAAGACAGAGAACACACTCGTTAAGACAAATGGCATTTTGTCCCTTGAGACTTCTTGAGACACAGTCGGCTTGAAAAATCATCTGCAGAAGGATACATGCCACTAAGCTCTCTCTAAGGAGTCATCTGTATACCTTTACGGCTGGTCTAGCAGTGTAACGGTAAAACTAATTTGGGAATTGTGTAAAAACACGTCCATCAGGGAAGATAAATGTTAAAATTTTGAGGCTCCATAATGCATGCATACACAGACCACTAATTGCTTCATTAATTATCCATAAATGAATCATTAAACATTTATAAACCCTTTATCAAGGCAACCCTGGTGATCAGAGTGGGTAGTAGCGCACGGTGCTATTTTAGAGCAGAACATGATGCCTGTTGGTTAATCGAGCCTCAGCCTCTGGGGCTGTTCTCACCTTTTTTACTCTGGACTGATGAATAGCTTCTTTGCTAGGGAAGCATGGGGTCAGTTTATTTCAACTAACCAAGAAAGGCAGAGGAAAATTGTAAATCAAAAAAGTAAAATGAAATATAAAAAGTTGCAGGTTTTAGGCTGAGCGAATATGAAGTGCATTTATTCTAACCCTCTGAGGCAGACGAGATGAGCAGACGCGCAGGCTGCTATATTTGGAGCAAAGCAGGCTCCACCACCTTAAGGCTAAATACAAATTATTTTTCACACAGACCTGATGTGCAAGAGGAAAATTGCTTGCCAAGTCGCAAACAGGGAGAAAGTAGGCAGGTTACAGAGCTCATCGTTTACCTGGGAGACAGCTCACAGTCGGCATGCAGTATCATGGAGGATGGTGGTTAACATGGTGGTGACTTGACTGGAAATGACTTCTCCACTGAATGTGTATATTGAATCCATTCCCTACTCTTAGAGCTAATAGATTATTCATGTAATGTGGAGCTTGGAAAGCAGTTGAAAGGGGAAAGACATATCCTGCCATCCTTTTCTGAAGAATCCCATTCTGCTCCTGCAGAGGTGCAGGTTCGACACTCAAATTTAGTTTACCAAATTAATACCTCCAGCTATTCTGGGTGTCCTGTTCTTGAAGTGGGGTGCTTGCTTTTCAAACTGTGACCTCAGGGTCATCATCTCATTCATCTTTTGTTATGTCAGGCATTAATTCAAGAGTAAGCATACTGGAGAGCTCCTTTTTAGGATCAAATGAACTTCAGGGCAGGTGAGAAAAAAGACACATCATAGTAGAGAAGTCACTGTAGCCGATCAGATCCCTGGTGGTTGAGAAAATGGATAAAATGGCCTCTCTGCAACATGAAATGGTCCTTCTCGTACACCCTCTCTAAGCCTTCTGAATGTGTCCTAATTTAACAGTCTGTGAACATGGTGACGGCAGAGTGTGTAGGTGCTTCTAGTGGTGACCTTTACTAATATGAGCATCAGAAAAAAAGGCCAGTTGGGAAGGAGTTTGGGGGAAATTTAGAGACAATGAATAAAGAAAAGAAAAAAAAAGACGTGGCCACAACAGCTTTCAGCGACTCTAATCCCAATTGAGTTTATTTAATCAATCACATCTTAACAAACATTTTAGACTTAGGGTGGGGGGTAGATTATGGAATTCAAAGTTGGTTTTGAAGAAAGTATTAGCAATAATAGATTACATTTTTTATACAAAACACAAAAATATATATCAACATAAAAAAAAGCAATTCAACAAAACAAAAGTCTGAATGTTTGTACTCCTTATAAATCGAAGAAGTAAAGGTTGATGAACAACATAAAAAGTCCAGATCAGAATCAAGAGGCAGATTGAACGTCCCCTCCTTTAGTATCTGTACTGGACCAGACCAAAGTCATAGGGTCCCAGGGAACTTTCATACTGATACTCACAGAGAAAGGTGGGTTTGTACGGTAGGGTCCCCCTATCATACTCTTTCCTCTCTAGCGTGCTGGAGCTGTACTGCTGCTGTTGTTGCTGATGGAGGTGATGGTGAAGGCTGTGGTGTGACTGTGACCTTTGACCGTCCTTGCCAAAGGTGGAGAATGACCTATCGGTGGTCGAGACGGTGGACGAGGTCATGGTGAGTTGGTTGGAAAGGTTGACGGAGGAGGGTACCTCAGTGTCGGGCAAAGTGGCGTCCATGCCGGGTACGTGCAGGTTGCTGCGGTAGTCCGGACCCTGGCGCCCATCAGATGGCACAAAGGACGGCATCCAGCAGCGGTCAGAGTGACCCAAGGCCTTGCACTCCTCCGTGCAGTTGGAGAAAAGGTCAGCACCTGCGTAGATGGTACAGATCAAGGTAGGCACAGCAGGGGGGAAAGGAGGAGTGAAATGGGAAGACGAAAATGTGGATGGATGGAGAGAAAGACGAGGAAAAGAGACCAGAAGAGAGAACATAAGTGAGCAATAATTTGCCAATATCGTGAGCAGAGAATGCACAGCAAAAGCTATTCATCAAAGAGACAAGGCCAACATTGATGAAGTGAATTGTTTGTTTTCTTCCTCACCTCATTCATTTCAAATAAAATGCGCAATCAAAGTGATGTGGTGTTGCGAAAACATTTCAACCCCTACCACGTCAACATCCTCAGACTCACAATCGATTTTCTCACACTAAGAGACAAACTGTGAATCCATAATCCATTATTCTTACACAAAAATCCTGCAATTATCTTAAGAAATGTCGAACAAATACCGAAACAATTGTCACTATACTCCAACGCCAATCATCCATGCACGAGTCGACTAAGAGTATAACCGACAAAGAGCTGGCGCCAAAAACAAATATAAAATAACAATGAAAAAAAGATGAAATTAACATCTGAAATGATATAATAGGATAACACACATGCTCTCCCTCTCTTACACACACACACGCAGCACAGCATGAAGGAGCTACCAGTTATGTTAATTACTCTCTCTTGGAAAGAATAAAGGGGAGAGATGGGGGGTGGCAGAGATATTATAAAAGGAGATAGAAAAAGAACATGAGATGTGAACAAAGTCATCATAATAATGAGACTGTGCAGGGATTCTCGTTTCATGTACAGACTGGAATCACAGTTTCTCCTGGATCTCCAGCACAGCCCGGGCAATGTGAGGGAGAGTTGAGGGTGGCGGCATCAAAGCAAAGAGATGAGCAGTTTAAGGCGAAGCATTGAGACAAAGAGAAAAACTGGAAAAAAAAAATACACACACACGCAGACAGAGCGAAAGTGTGATCTTCAATTTCCTAACATTGAGATATCTTACAATCAAAGCAAGTTTAGTCATCTCCCCCATCTCAATGAAGTGTTAAGATGACTTCTTATTTCTAAGTAAAAGAAAGGAGTGGTGTCTCTTCAGCCTGTCATTTATACCTGCAGCTTGAAGGGAAGAAAAAACTCTTTCCCAGGTCCTGGACATTCCCCTCCCTTTGCATATTAAGACTAAATCTCAAAATATCAGCCTGTCACAGATTATGGATTATCTTTCCTTCAGTAAAAGAGGCAAAACCTAAAAAAATGCTTTAAAAATGGAGGTGTAGTCAGTCAGTCTGTTTTGTTTGTTGTGCCTGAACGCTGCTGCTCCTCTGAGTCTGTGCACTTCAGACTGGATACCTGACTTTTGTTTACTCCTCAAGGACTACAGTAATTTTAACATCACTGAATAAAAAGCTTTTCTGTTGACACACAATCACCAAAGTATGGATTTGCACCATACACCAATAGGGATGCACCAATCCGATATTTGGATCAGATATCGGCCCCGATATTGACAAATTAACTGGAGTTTTTCTCTTAATTAATATCATACACAGCAACACAGTGATTCTGTTCGCTCTATATTCTATGTCTGTCTATCCTTTTGCACTAAATTTTTCCATGGAAGTCTTACTTCTTTTTGCTGTGTGCTAATGTGCAGTTTGTCGTTTGTTAACAAATAATATTAAGTTAATTATTGTCTGTGTTAATTTGTTACCTTTTTTTTTTTTTAACAAGGCTAATGTCAAGCCTGATGCCTTCACTCACAGGGCAAGGTATACAGTTCATTCCTTCAACAGTAGTATTGGATTGGTATCTGATATCAGCCGAAACGCTCAGCCCAGGTATAGGTTTTAGATTGGATCAGAAAAATATGGATCAGTGCATCTCTATACACAAAGGAGATGAATTATACACGTTTGAATGGTTCAAGGTTGATTTTATACTGAACTCTAGTCGAACAGTGTCTTAGTTTAAAGTCAGTGTTTGTGAAATTCTCAAAATGACTGTTCAGAGAGAGAAAAATAAGGTCAATGAGCAGCAGTGAGTGCTGCAGTGACTAAGATGCATTTTAGCCTCCTGGGTTTCCCCCTGAGACATCTTACAAACCTGCAAACTTTCCTTGGCATAAAACTAAACCCATTACCTTGCGCATTACTTTGAAACATGATCAAATCTAACCTTGTTATTGCTACGATTTTCTCAGAAATTAATACGATACATAAGCTATAAGAAACGAAACGATGAGCTCTTGATTTTAAAAAGATAAGTGGATCAACATCAGAGCAGAGAAGGAGCAATTTTTGCAATTTTATTTTGGCTATGATAGAAGGAATTAAAAAGACATTATGTTTAGGTTTAGCTGTATGTTGACCTACAGTGTACCCTTCAAACATTGAGCTCGAAACTAAAATGAAGGAAAACAGGCATGTGAGGAAAGTAGTGTGTTTAGTTCAGTCTGTCAAACACTGCGTTTCAAAAATTCTCCTTTAAGTGTTGAGAACAGCTGCAAAACAGTGAATCCAAACACATTTAAAGCTCCACTTGATTTATAAAACATAATGAGCTGCAGTCTGCAGATGTCATGTAGTGCACATGTAAATACCAAATATTACTAACAACAGCTCTGTCTAACACGAACGCAGTAGCTGGCTCTGTTTTTTTGCTTCCTTTTTTATGCCTGTGTGCATTGTGTGGATCTAATCGTGTGGCTAATTCAGGGCTCATAGGAAGCAAAACATGCAACAAAGGCTGTGCCGTGCCCGGAGAGCCAGAGGAGACACGGGGCTCACAGACAAGGGACGGAGAGGGCCAAACAGACGGGGGAGTCACAGATTTCACAGACAGAGACAGCAGGCAGGAGAAGCAGTAAGACTGCAGGAACCATAAGGAGGGAGAGGGGAGACCTGGGCAATCACAGATGGAAATAGCAATAGCCAGAAGAGACAGTGGGAGACCCGGCCTTCACAGATGGAGACGAGAGAGGGGTTACACAGAGGTAGGCAGAGAGGGAGGCAAATTTGATTAAAGCATGCAAGATGAAAAATCTCCTCTCTAACATTAGCTGTTTCACACTTTGACCCTATCATAAAAGTGCCATTTTCTATACCCTCTAATCTGTCTACGAGGGATACTTGGGGCTGGAGCCTATCTGCGTTTAATAATGAAAAAGAATAACCATAAAATGAAAAAAGAGAGAGAAACATGGAAACGTGAAAGCTTGAACTTTGATTGAGTTTCTTTTTGGATTAACAGCAGAATTGTGTTTTCCTGTGGGATACATGGAGCCTCTAACCTGCTTTCAAACTGTTCCGAGTAAATTGCACGAACACAAAAACACCGAGGGATTGAGGGCAAATAGCTGCAGAATGTTTGACAGCGCCTTTTTAAAATTGTAGGTATTTTATTTTACATATTGATTCAGCATGTTTCAAAAATGTCTGTTCACCCCCGTTTCATCTGCCTGGCCCTAAGATTCAGTACCGGTGCTTTTGCAGCCAAAGGGTCTGTTTGTTTTTATCACCACCGAGCACATGTGGGTTGTGGTTCAATGGAAGCTCTGTACTAAAAGAAAACACAGTATGATCTGGTGGAGAACAAAAAGAGAAGTCCCATAATGCCATGTGGGAAAGCTTCTCTTGTGAGTGTGTGTGGATGCTCAGGCAGGTTTTGGGCAGCGTTCGCAGGCAGTTGCATGCATGTACCCTCCAAATCAGCCGTCAAACCAACCAGCGTTTGTGCAAATGGTGCTGCTTTTGTCGATTTTGTCCATTCCAGCTTCACGGTTAATTGCAAACCTTCCTAAATTCGCTCTTCTAAAACATACGGGTCATTTTTAGAGTCCTCTCTTCTCTGCTTTCCATAAAAGTACAGCACCGGTGATAGCGATATCATATATGGTTAAAAATATACCACGACTAAAGCACAGGTGCAAACAATCCTGCAGATACTCAGCGGAGCATACTAATGAAGACACCGAGTTAATATCAGGGGATTAAGAGAGATGTTCAGTTTGTCCTTTGGTTCTCACGTTGCGGTATGTTATTAAACAGAACAAGAGCGCATTGTACTCCGGGTATATGCTAGGTAAATATAGTCAGCAGCAGTCACCCTCTTGTCAATTACTTCCAAACTATACACACAGTGATTTTTGCCTGCCGACACACACTCCATAAAAACAACATCAACACATGTGTTTGCAAACACACAGGCATGTAAAAATACTTCCTTAACGCTGAGATATGTAAATGTAGGTAAGAAAAACAGGCAGACAAGCCATGACACCACATGACACCCGCTGGCTGCTGATTCCTGTGAAGCACCTTTTCTTCCCCTGGCAGGAAGCAAAACAACAACCGAAACAGTGACTGGCAATGACAGTCCCTGCCAGCAGTCCTCTCTTTCATTGTGACCCCATCAGAATAGAAGAACACACACACACACACACATACACACACACTGGCATAACAACCCAACACAATGCAAACACAATCTACTTGCTAATAAGCAATCAGCTCCTCTGGATTATTTTTCTCCGCTCGTTTTTTTCATGGCATCTCTGAGTGTTTCTGAAATCCCACGTCGCTGTGATTTGACTAATTGCGCTGCCTGACATACATCCAGCAACAGGGAGCTGAAATGAAGGAAAACAAATCCCTGTAAAACATGAGCCCCATGTTTGAAATCACTCGGTGGGTATATATCTGCTGCTCTCAGGTTTGCAGTTATTCCCACCCTTTACTCATTTGTCTGTCTGTCTACCTCTCTCTCTGCCTATATTAGTCCCTCTGTGCATTTTTCATGCCTTTTGTGTCCCTGTCTCTTGTTATTTTCTTCAACGTTTAATCCTCTTTGCCTGTTTCTTCCCCTCTCTTAATCCCTTTTTTCATTCTTTAAAAAAAAAAGGAAAGCTTCTCATCCCCCAGGTGGAAGGTGTCTTCTCTCCATACCTCTGTTTTTCATCTTGTCCTCCAGCGCTCTGGAGAGGATGCAGACACAAAACGTCAATATTTGGACAGCAGCTAGGACAGCAGGGGAGTAACATAGCTCCCTTGCACAGGTTGGCCAGTGAAGCTGTGATGAGTAAACCAGAGACCTCCCAGGACCACAAAAAAAATACAGGATGGTTCTGCCATCTCCAGTAACTCCACACAGAGAAACTGTTCAGAGACTCTGAGAGGCGGCGGCTGTTTTTGATGTTTGTTACGTTATAAATGGACTGAGCAGAAGAGCCAAGATAGTCCCTTGTCCTTTCAGAGTACTTTGATTGATAAAACATCTTGGATATGATGGACTAAGGTTTCTGGATGACCACTCCTGATCAATCTTATTATTTATTTAAAGCCTTGACCAAAGTATGTGCAGACTGGGACCTTCTGTCTTCAATATTTATGTGTAATTCATGCTGTTTTTAAAGATGCAGTATGTAAAAATGAGGATATTTAGCAGCCAGATAGACACTGAAACACTGTCCTGTGCTCCCTTCAGCAAATCGATGGAGGCCTTTGAGGACCAGAGGCTTCTGTGATGCATGAAAAGTACGACTCTCCATTTGTCAAGTAGATATCTCTATGATACAAAAACCACTCACTTCATATTCCTGCCACAGCGTTTCAAGCAAGAAGACCGGCTCTTTGAGTGAACACAAAAGACTAGTTTTAAGGAAACAAAAGCAAAACTATCTTTATATTCAGGTGATCACACACTGCACCTCATTTTTTAAAGTATTGTCCAAAATTTCTGCTTATCATTGTGACACTGTTGTCTCTCACTATGATGTTAACAAAGTTGATCAAGAAAACCAAATCAAATTACAGATTTTCTTCAAACTGGAAATGAGGGGGTTTATTTAAGTCAATTTCAAGGCCGTGTTCGTCATATACTTGAATATCAGAGTGTAGTGATTTGGTATTTAATGTCTCCTCCTATCTTAAAGTAGAGTTCTGCTCACGACTTCTGCTCACATTAGCTAGCTAGATGAAAAAGGAAACGGTACATTGAGATCAAACTGTTCAGTAAATTTTAATTTTCTGTCAACAAGGATTTGGAGCAGAAGAAGAAAATCCCTGCGTGTAGACTAGAACTCCTGCTGGGTACACTAGAGATGGTGAGTATTTTTATTTTACAAAGCAGAAACTGCACTAAAATCTGCAGGGTTTCAATTATGTTTCTACCCACACACTCCAACCAACGTTGTGGCTAGGAATGGAGATGATCAATACTTATTAATACTGATACCTCCTTCGTGATCAGAGTCCTTATGATACCATTATCAACTCTTTTATTTTATTGTCTATTTTCACCAAAAGCTACTTTTCTGAATGTGACATTTGAACACATCACCAACTTAACTGTCACCTAATTCTCTTTTTACTGACCCCACCCTGAACACCTCATGATGCAAACTTTGTCACCTTTATTAGCTAGCTGAATACGTTTTATCCTGCTGATTTTAACATGGATTTTAAAACTAGATCTTGATTCAGGACTTGATCTATAGTCTAGCTGTGCTATCTTTAGCTGCTCTGGGGGAAGAGGAGAGTGCAGCCCTACAGCAGCATATGGAGTTTTTTCAAGGTTTTGCATTTTGACTTGATTTGGAACACAATGCTGGTGTGTTTGGTGATGGAGGTTGTCTTCATTTTGCAACTGCACTTTGCTTCATTTCTATCTTTAGCTTATGTAACACAGGGCCACACTCTGGACCTCTTTGCACATTCAGCCATCGTCGTAATTCTTCCTTACATAATTTTATAGCTGTTTGCTGCTCAAACACTTAGACCGTCTGCGCATGCACCATTGATTAAGACTACGTTTACACATGCCTGGATATTTTCATAAACGGACATTTCACTCTCTCCGTTTTCAAAAAAAAAAGAACTGCGTGCACACCACTACGTTTTCAGAAAAGTTTTCGTTTACACTATCCCGTGTATATATATATATACATATGCCGTCAAGAGCATATCAAACATGTGGGCGACAGTGTAGCGAGAAGCTTAAGCCCACGTTAGCCAACCAGAATCCCACATAGCAACAACAATAAAGTCACTTCCTTCCTTCCAGCGCACAATCTGCCGTCAGCTACCCCAAGCTCTGTTTTTCTCCGTATGCAAACTGAGTTTTCCAAAATTCCTACCTTGTCCAGAGTTTTTTAAAAGCATCGTTTTCAGGGGCGAATTCTCCGTTTGCGTCTAAACGAAGGGTGCAAACGATGGTTAATGTCTCTGTTTAAAAAATAAATTAAAAAAACAGGTACGTATAAACAGGGCCTTAATGAACTTGACATGACTAAACTCTGGGTATAACGTTTCTTCACACGCCAAGACCAGACAGCAGACTCCATAAGCTCAACCATTATTGATTTTTGGGTTTTGACAAATGCTTCATCTGGTATTTAATGGACCTGATTATTGATCCCCATCCCTCGTTGTGTCACAGTTTGTTAAGAATTACAAGAATGCTTCTATTGCAACAATGCAAGATTATTTGTACTTATACATGTGCACAGTAGTCATTTGACCTGGTTCGTGCTTTTTACTTTTTAACAAACAGAGTTAATCAGATTAAGAAACATAAAAACATCCCTTCAGATCCACCAGTACATATCCATGTATTACATTTGTGTCTTTGAAGGGAGTATGCACTGCAGCCTGACTGGAGCAGATGTTCACTGATTTAAATCTCTGGGCTGAAAGGATGATATGTGTGCAGCTCAAGCATGTTTATGACTCTCAGGACTTAGCTGGGATTTCCAGCAGTCTTACTGCTGTACGGTTAACCTTAGTTATAAACGCCCAAGGCACGAATGAGAAAACATCTTCACTTTTTGATCTCATATTTTCAGCAGATATGAGGCATATTCATAACTACTAGCACTGAAAATGAATAAAACTTGTGTCCTCTCTTTTTTTAATAGATTTCAGGGTTAGGAAAACTTGATGTGCTATTCAGCTCATTCAAAGAGCCCTGCCTATTCACAACAAGAACACATTCATCAAGGCACTCAACAGAATGTGCAAGTATTGGTAATCATTATGCTTCGTGCTCTTATTGTCGTTTTGATTTATATCAAAACAGGGCCCACTACGTTGAATTCAATTCCCCCTATCAAGATTCACAATGCTGTAGAAATGTCATGTGAAATAGAGATTTTATTTTACAGGCCCAGTTTGAGATAAGAGACACTTTGCAGGAACAGAAATCGTCCACTTAATTAGTTAATCAACGCCACTGATCCTTTCCTTTCACTGCGTTCATTGACTTTATTGACATTCAACAGGCCAGTCAGGTCTGCTAATGGATTCTAAAGGCTGGAGTGTGAACCTTTACTCTCAGTACATTGTCACCCAGGCTGTACATTTGCCAGTGTCTTTACTCAGCTGCTTTGTCATATTTTAAGGTGAGAAATCTCAGTATTTCAGTGTTACAAATTTCAAGGATTTAGACACAAAAAAATTAGACACCACTTAAAATATCCTTCACACAGTCTGTGAAGGATTTTGAAGTATTTGGTGTATAATTGCTGCAGAAATCATCAAGGAAATTACCACCAGAAAAATCGATGTCAAAATGGCAAACTGAGCGTGATAATATTTTCTTACCTTTGAGATCTTCTGAGATCTCCTTCACTTAAGAGCAAGGTCTCGGCTCTATTTTTGATTCTGTGAGCTTTTGAAATAAACAGGACATTTGTTTTAGTTTCATGGATCACAGAGTCAGGGGTCACAGCATCCTGTTTTGTCAGATTCAGGGCCTGAGAGGAGGGCGTTTCAAAACTCGGTGTGCTAAATTCCTCTGACAGCTCACTGACATGGGAAACTGCAACACGGTGCCCGCCACTAATTCATAATCAGCCATCTAATACACCGTTGCCAAAGTGATTTAATTGTCCCATTTGTCACGGCTGTTGTTCTCACCAAAACAAACGTCATGATAATGATGATTTCCCGTCTCCTGCCCGTCACACAGCCCTCAACAGCTGATCGAAGGTTGCTGCATTTTCCTACTCCAGGATATTTCATCTCCTCTTATTTTTCATCTTATTTAGGTTTCCTTATGCTTGTAATGTAAGAGGAGCTATCATGAGGAAAATAATGTCAAATCTGAAATCCAAAGGAAAAACTGGGGTCAGAAAAGGGTTGTGAGGTGATCAAAGATGTGATAGTCTATCACTAGTGCACAGCAGTGCCAAGCTTCAGACATCCTGCTCTCACAGAAGCCATTTTCCTACTTTTGAAAGGTACTTGCTGATATCCCAGCCTCACAGACAGTGTCCCTTTGATTTAAAACCACGACAGGAGACTTATTTTCTAAAGTGTCAGACGAGCGGCCGAGCGGGAAGCTACGGCAGGTGTAGTTGATGATATGCCAAGTGGAAATGGTTTTCCCTTGATTTGAAATATTCCAAGTCGAACCAAAAGGGAGAATATGCCTGGCGCGGTCTCGTGAGGAAACCTTGCCTCTAACCCTCCTTTGATAATTGCTATGTAAAGGTTCAAGAAAAGAATTACTGATCAGCCAAGTGTTGCAGGGAGCCAATGTGTGTGTGTGTGGGGGGGGGGGGGGGGGGCACAGAATGAAGGATGAGACCCTGCTGCATACCCGAGGAAGGAAATATACATGTGATATGAAGAATGCAAATACCCTAAACATGTGGTCCATACATAGGATAAGCTCAGCCCTCTGTTGCAAAGCTAAAGGACATGCTCTCTGCATGTAACACCAACAGGCAGGGGTACAAAATAACACAGACAAACATAGTATTCAACCCACTCAAGGAACTAACAGTTCTCTTGTCCTTCGACAGAATATTTATTCAGTAAAATAAGTCTCTCATATACGTAGAAGGAGACAAATGAGCAGCGGATAAGCCTATATAGAGGCAATATACCTGGAACAGGGCCAAGCAGTAGCTTCCACTCTCTCTCTTCTCAAACAGAATCTCATTTAAGCTTCCCAGAGCAACGTCTCCGAGGAAAACTCCTTTTCAATACAGACATCATCACCTCTCCTCGCTTTCTCCCACACAAAACACACACACACACACACAAGCAGATCACATATAGGCACAAACACCTACATATTGAATCAGACAACGGTACACCTGTACACCCACTCACACCTACACCCCCCTCTCCCCCCTTTACACACAGACGCACACACACACACATTCTGTCTGGTTTTGTTGTTTCAAGAAGGCTATGAAACTCAAGTATCCCTCTTTCCAAATAAGCAGCCGTATGATATGACCTCCCATGGAGTGGTAAGCTGTTCCCTTATAAATCCAACATGAGGAACAAATGTTGGTTTCCACATATGAAATACAAAGTACAGCACCAACTGGGAACACGTCCATGCCAGTGCCAAATGAGCATGTTCGGTGCCAAACGAAGCAGAGCCAACCTGTTATTGGTCACTGAATGTGCTGCTGTCACAAGTAAAAAGATATTTACCAGGCCTACAGTACTACATAAAAATACAACCAAAAACACACAGCGCAGGTAAGAGCGTATGGTAAATAGACTTTAAACCCTGGAACACTTTGCGACTTGGCTGCTTTTCGGTGCGCCTTGTAACAATGTCAAAATAATGCAGAATCAAGCTGAAGACTTCATAAATCAACAACTGGTGAGCCTCCTTGGCCCCAAAGATGATTCCCTCCAGCCTTACGTCTTCTGACCACTCAGAGCATTATCACGCCAACCCATTCACACCACATTCACACACGGATGGCAGAGGCTGCTCTGAGAAACACCCATCAGGCTTGACCAAATCCATTCGCACACTGCTGGCGCTTTGGGGTCCAAGTGTCTTGCCCCAGGGCGCTACAGCATGTGGACAGCAGGACCTTCTTAGAGACTACTTACTATACCACCAAGCAACAGCCACCCCACTTACAGCTGATGACTTTTAAGACCAGAGCTTCCTGCGAGATGTGCAGGTTTGAATGCACATCACGTCATTTACGCATCTATATTCCTTTAGAGTACCGCTGCAAAAAGGTAAAAAAAAGACAAAAACAGTCTGTCGCTGTGCTTCTCCAGATTGTTCCGGATCACGTTTTAAAGTAAAGTGGCCGAGTCAGTAAGCATGTTCCCACGTCAGCACAAATATTCACTTTGCAAATTCTTGAGGAGCTGAGGAGTAAATCTTTTGATTCCTTCCAATTTTGCATTTTACTCTCACATCCTCTGACCTTCTAAGTCAGTCTCATCAGTGAGGGCAGGAAGTGACACTACCGCTTCTGCATACAGGCTCTCAATTTGGGCTTTGTTCATTAATGATGTCAAACACAGTGGAGCCTGATGAAGACCATTCACCATCCTACAACACCTATTAATCTGCTCTATTTGTATTCCCAGCACTGATATGATATTTGGCAGGCTCCGGCCTAGACAGGGGTCTTACACCAGCCCAGAACAACAATCCCTCAGAAGAAAAGGGCAATTCAATATGAAATGAGATTTTGTATTGCTCTATTCTTTTGTCTGACTCCAATTTGATCAATAAACAGGTACTAACCTAATAGAATTTAGGGGAAACAAGGGCGTGGTGAGGGCTCATGATAGGACCCGAAGCCTTGTATGAAAAACTACTGCGATTGTTCAGTGTGAATGAGTGTGAAGGAGAGCCAGGGAAAAGGAACTGAACAGAGGGGCTGAGGGAAGCGTTTTATTTTCAGCTGCTTATTTTTGCCTGAACTCATGTCACAGCTAAAAAAGGCTATAAGCTTACGATATCAAAGAATAGAAAGGTCTCTAATGAGCCTGATCAGCTGAGTCAATCACCAAAGAAGAACAGTTCAATATGCAGCTGCCAGGTTTCATTGAAATGCATCTGAATATATCAATCTAGCCTTTATGCCTTTTCTTTTCACTGTTTTAACCCATTGATTTGTAGCACTGGGGGAGTGCAGGCCCCACACTGCTGTGTTACAAGTCGCTGTCCTTTCAGCACCACTCGGGGGAGACGGCAGCAGGGTTAGAGAGAGAGAGGGGAGACGGCAGCAGGGTTAGAGAGAGAGAGAGGGGAGACGGCAGCAGGGTTAGAGAGAGAGAAGGGGGAGACGGCAGCAGGGTTAGAGAGAGAGGGGGGAGACAGCAGCAGGGTTAGAGAGAGAGGGGGGAGACGGCAGCAGGGTTAGAGAAAGAGGGGGGAGACGACAGCAGGGTTAGAGAAAGAGGGGGGAGACGGCAGCAGGGTTAAAGAGGGAGAGAGGGGAGAGACGGCAGCAGGGTTAGAGAAAGAGGGGGGAGACGGCAGCAGGGTTAGAGAGAGAGAGAGCGAGAGGGGAGACATCAGCAGGGTTAGAGAGACAGAGAGGGGAGACAGCAGGGTTGGAGAGAGAGAGCGAGAGGGGAGACATGTTAGAGAGGAGAGAGGGGGCAGACAGGAGCAGGATGAGAGAGGAGAGAGGGGAGACATGTTAGAGAGGAGAGAGAGGGGAGACAGCAGCAGGGTTAGAGAGAGAGAGAGAGAGAGGAGACCTCAGCAGGGTTAGAGAGAGAGAGAGAGAAAGAGAGAGAGAGAGAGAGAGAGAAGGGAGACAGCAGCAGGGTTGGAGAGAGAAGGGGGAAACAGCAGTGGGAGGGGGCAGCAGCAGGGTTAGAGAGGGGGCTGGACAGCCAGGAGCGGAGAGATAGGAGGAGGGAGACAGCAACAGCCAGGAGCAGAGAGAGGGCAAGGGGGAAAAGATTTCCCAAATTTTGCTCTTTTTCACCGGGGTGTGAAATACAATCAACACCTCCGGGGCCTGTTCGTTCAAGCCAGCCAACCAGCAACACCGGAGCCCAAGCCTTCGCACACTCTCAAATTAAGGAAATTAAAAGTCACCGATCCGCACCACCAATCCAGCACTATACCATTCACAATTGCAAAAGACTCACACTATGGAAACAGAGCAGGGGGGCTCAGTTGTGTGAGGACTAAAATGATGGTGTAATAAAATGACATGGGAGTAACTCACCAGCCGAGTGACCCCGGTTAGTGGCATCGTGATCACTGTCGCCCTGTTCGCTGTCGCCATGACCACTGTCTTTGGAGCTGACGATGTCTGCCTCTTGGAATGCCGAACTGCAAACGATAGACGAGTGAGGGGAGGGGGTACAGAGGGAGAGAGATGCATGAAAACAAGGCAGGGGCAGAGGAGGGGTACAATATCGGCCAAGAGATGATGATGAAGGGAGAGGAGGATTAAATGAGAGGCGGAGAGAAAAAGGGGGAGAATCAGAAATCATCCCCCACTTGAACACAGTGACTGCGGCCATCAAGACTCTAAATTGGATGTTACACATGGCATGTAATGAAATCCAGCATTAGAGCTTTAATGGTCACTGGTCTGTCAGTTATGGGACTGATGCCAAATTGAAGATGAACGTTATGGTTACATTGGGACCCATGTCGCCTCTCAAAGCCACAATTAACGCAGCAGAATATACAGGATTCACTCTGATGGGTGTGATATGCTTTTTTATTGATATGTGAATGGGCTGTGGCTCCATGGGGCCTATTGAATGTTACAGGTCTTCTGGTAGTGAATGGTCTGTGGCTCACTGTGTTTTGCACATTAGAAATAATAAGGTGTGTGTCTGCGGATGTGTGTGTGTGAATGTGTGTGTGCACTTTACTGGGCCTACCTGTTGACACGTCTGGGTCTATCCACCAGATAGCTGAGTTCTGCGCGTTGGTGTTTTGTCTGAAAGATACATAAACACATATTTCAATACAATACATAAGGACATCATTACATGCTCAATACAAGACTTAGGATGAGATGACATTCACTGACAACAGATATATAGAGTGGTAAACATATTAGATAAAACTGTGGTAACACAAGGTGTTGTGCTGACAGTGTGCGCAGCCACACTGTGAGTAAGTGGGCGAGAGGAGAAGAGAGCCAGGGAGAGTGGGTTAGGGCGGCAATTGAATGCGTAAATGATTGAGCCGCCCGATGCTGAAACTGAACAACCTTTGTTCATGGTGCTGCTATGCTGGGTCGTGCACAGAATATTTAACGCACAGGAAAAGCAAGGCTATGACTGGCTATCTGGCTCCACTCCAGACACACCGCAATCAACAAAAAGCCCCAACTCTGAGCTTCCCCGAGCAGAGCCCACTGCTGCACAGACAACAGGGCTGTCAACCCACTCGCATCCACCCATCCTTTACTGCATTATTTTATTACATCAACCAAAACAGGCTTAAGGAGGGCAAACAATCACGCCTGTTGATGTGACCAGATGGTCTCGCAAGCACATAAATGCTCTCCTTCTGGGTTACAGGTGAATGAAGGCACGCATTTATTGCACTTACTGTCTTTAGAATTATCAAAATTTTGGGCTCAAGATGATTGGAGCCGCATCTTCCAAATCATCTAATAAGTGGATTAAACTCCAATGTAAATCTTTGGATAAAAAATAAAATAAAATAAAAAACTGAATATAAAAAAAGGTGGCTTCAGACTTAATGTGACAGAAAACTCTCCTGTCACGCTCGGCTCACCTCATAAAGGTCGATTAGACAGCAGAAAACTGACGAGACCACATGAAATTTAACATTTGAAGTATTGACATTACCCATGACGCACGCTGTGCGTATGAACCTGCAGATACAACTTCGTCGTGGGGACATTGTGCTGCGCGTGGCCTTTTCATAAATCATACTAGATCTCGGAAGGATCTTGAAAATGAGGTCAACCTTGGACTCGAGCTTTGTTACACTTATAATAGATCCGACAGGAGGTTAAGTGTAGCCCGTAGCGGCATGATTCAGACTTCCCTTACCTCATTGGACAGGATGCTGCCATTGGATATGATGTCCGGTTGTTGGTCACTGTAACCTGTGACTATGGCGCCGCAGGGGTTCGTGTGATCCGTGTCAGTGCTGCGGGAGGGGCTGCATGGTTTGAGGAACATGAGATCCGTTTTTGCGGACTCCGGTGTCAAACACACCTGGTAGCAGTAGGAGTTCTGGTTCTGGTGATGGTGAGAGCCGAAGCCCCCACCGACGCTGCCCACACCAGACTCCTCCACAGGCACCTGCCCTACCGGGCCGACCCCTGACGTGACGTTGGTGCTTTGAACTAACATTATGTCTGATTTACTCAGCTTTTTCTGTTTCCGGCCTCGAGCCCCTCTGCTACAGCAGGAGCCGCAGCACAGACAGCAGTCGCCGGCCAAAAGGCACGTGTAAAGGTTAAGTTTCTTGTCCTTTTGGCAGCGCACGGCCAGCACGATCATAGCTAGGAGGAAGATGAAGGACACGGAACCCAGAGCGATGATGAGGATAAGGGTGAGGTCCAGGGAGGTTTCCTTTGCCCTGGAGGCCGACCCGCGATCCCCGCTGCGGCCTTCGACCACACTGTCCACTAAAATTACACTCACACTGGCTGAGGAGGAGAGGGGGGGCTGCCCGTGGTCCCTCACTTCGATCAGCAGGTCGTAGTAGCCCTGCGGGTCCCGCTTAGGAGAGATCCTGCGAGCTGTCCTCAACTCCCCTGTCCTCCAATCCATGCGGAACATCCCCATCTCGTTGCCCCGCAGGATGCTGTATGACAGCCGTGCATTCTCGCCATCATCCGCATCCATGGCCACAATGCGCGTCACCAGGTAGCCAGGCTCCGCAGAGCGCGGCAGGTGTTCTTTTGCTGTGCCATTTTTACCGATCGGGGCGATGACAGTGGGAGCGTTGTCATTTTGGTCCACGATGATCACATTTACTGTGGCATTCGAGAAAAGCTCAGCCGCTCCGGAGTCTTTAGCCTGGACCATAAAGCTGAACTCTTTCAGCTGCTCATAATCAAAAGAGCGCAGCGCGTAAAGGTAGCCGGTGTCCTGGTTTATGGACACATAGGTGTCCACTGACATGCCTTGTATGTCACACTCCAATATGGAGTAAGTTATGAGAGCGTTCTGTCCTATATCAGGGTCCAAAGCGCTCACGGCGTGGATAAAAGCACCAGGCACATTATTCTCAGTCACATACACATCATAAACAGCCTGCGTAAAACGGGGCGCATTGTCGTTCTCGTCGGAGACATGCACTTTAATGGACTTGCTGGTAGCGAGTGAGGGCTGACCCTTGTCTTTGGCCACCACAGTGATAGTGTAAGAGTCTGTGTTTTCTCTGTCTAACGGTCCGTCAGTCACAATGGTGTAGTAGTTTTTGAAGGATGATTTCAGCTTGAAAGGAACATCTCCCAATATTTCACAGGTCATGTGTCCGTTTTCACCAGAGTCCCGGTCTGAGACGCTAAAAAGTGCGATCACGGTGCCCGGGGCGTCCTGCTCGCTCACGGATTCAGTCACCGTGCTGAAACCGATCTCCGGTGTGTTGTCGTTCACGTCCACGAGTTTGACCAGCACTTTGCAGTGAGCAGGGACTGCATTAGCCCCAAGATCTTTTGCCTGGACATAAATCTGATGCGTGCTACTCTCTTCAAAGTCCACCTCACCCGCGACCTCTATCCTTCCTGTTCTTGCATCAATATTGAATAAGTCCTTTATCCGCGGGGCGTTATGACTGCTGAAAGAATAAACTATTTCCCCGTTTTGACCCTCGTCGACATCAGTGGCGTTGAGCTGTATGACCAAAGTGCCAACAGGGGAGTTTTCCCGCAGGTTGACAGAGTAGACAGTCTGGTCAAAGGTGGGCGCGTTATCATTAGAGTCCAGAACTTTAACGACCAAAAGAGCCGTCCCCGTGCGCTGCGGGATGCCCCCGTCCACAGCCGTCAGCACATAGCGGTGGACTGCCTGCTGCTCCCTGTCCAGCGACTTTTCAAGCACCAGTTCAGCGAACTTGTTCCCATCACTCTGTGTCTGCACGTCCAGGTAGAAATAGTTATTGTTCGTTATGGCGTATGTGCTGAGCGCATTTGTGCCCACATCAGGGTCGAAGGCGTTTTCCACCGGGAAACGGGTCCCGGGGATCGCGCTCTCCGATATTTCCACGGAAATGTCTGTCTCGGGAAAGCTGGGCGGATTGTCGTTGATATCCATCACTTCGATCTCCACGCGAAAAAGCTCCAGCGGGTTCTCCAGAAACACCTCCAGGTGCAGTAGGCACGGGATGGTCTGCTTACAGATTTCTTCCCGGTCAATTTTCTCCTTAACGACAAGCGCACCGTTTTCTAAGTTCACCTCCAGATAAGGTGTTCTTGAACTGGGCACTGTCTGAAAGCGGCGAGCGGAAAGTTTGGTTATGTCCAGCCCCAAATCCTCTGCAATATTCCCAACCACAGAGCCAGTCTCCTGTTCCTCTGGCACAGAGTAGTGCAGCTGAGAGACAGCTCCATCCAGGATGAAGAGCAGGAATAAAAAGCAAATCATCTTTTCACCCATTCACAAATTGCACTTTAAGATAAAAAGTGTTATTCCTTTTTCTTACAAGCGGTGAGCATTTCCAGTTTCCTCTCTCCGCAAAAAGGCAGTGAAACAAACAGCAACAGGGCTGTCCGGTTGTGAAATTTCTCTCCTTTGCCTCGGGTCAGTAGAACATTGTGTCGTTTCAGTCGTGAGAAGCACAGCCATTTGATCCGAGCTTCTCAGTTTTAATCAATTCAGCACCGGTCTGTGAGTTTTGGCGTCAGCGCAAACATTGCAGGCTGGAGCCAGGACGCATAGCCAACACTCTCTGCGCCTCGTCTTTACTTCAGGTCTAATAAACACATATTCCACAGGATCAGTGAAGAAAAAGCGAAAAGTCCTTTACGCGCACTGCTGAAACCTTCACAAATTTAACTCCTGATTAGAAACTGACGAAAAACATGACTTTCCCTATCTCTCTCTCTCTGTTAGGATGTAATCACTGCGCCTAAGCGCTCAAAGCGGATGATGTTCTCAGCTCGGCTTCTGTAAGGCGAGTGGGAGCAGCGGGGTTGGTTTTGCGCACAGCTCCTTTCCCCACCAGCCAATGGTGTTCTCAAACACCGGGTGTAATGGCACCTGATTGGGGCTCTGCAACGCCAGCTAGAGCACACATCGGGCCCTCATAACAAAACCAGTTAAGTGCCGCTGCGCTCTTCTCCTTTTTTCCTTCCTCTCTCATCCCGGCCCAGCCTAAGTTGTGGAAGGGAAATTAAATGTTTTACACATCCAGTGAATATTAAAAAAGTCGCATAATGGCTGATGGAGGCTGGGATTGGCAGGCTGAGTGTGTTGCATCTGCCATGGAAATGCTGTTATTTCTGACATATTAAATGAAAATCTGCCTTTAATTCCTCGGACCAGGTTCTTCTCCCTTTCCACTGTAACACATGGCTCTTGATTTTCTTTTTTTTTTAAATAAAAAAAAGAACAACATGTCTATGACTTCAACAGTTTGGTATCAAAGCTGTGCTCCATCTGAGAGCTGAGTATGAATCAGAGTGTAGTAAGGATACTCACTGTCAAAGACCACCATGTAAAGAGCCTGCGCATGTAAAGACAGCAAGTGACGCAATACCCCCACGGTGCCACGGCCATCCTTTCTCTCTCTCTCTCTCTCTCTGTCGCTCTCTCCCTCCCTCTCTCTCTTTCTCACTCATTTTTTCTCTGAAATGAACACGCATGTAGAAAATATTCAAAATGAAGCAATATCTTCAGCGCTGCGTTCTGGTGAGCAACAGTATGATACAGAGTCCTATCAGCACAGGATCACACATGAGTTACTTTAATTCAGTGTAATGAAGCGTCATACTTTAGTCCTACCGTGTTGCTAATAGCCTGAAGCCTATTAGTTCCCCTATCTTCACATTCTTATCATTAACCCCCTCACATGCTGGCCTTAACTGGGATGCTGTTGCATCATGTGCTAATTTAATTCATAAAGCATAAATTAAATATGCAAATGGGATTGTTGTGAGGGAGACACAAATAGTGGGGGTCTAACTACTTGCACACCATTTGGAGGATGATGACAAAAAGATGAAAAAGAGCGTAATTGAGGCTAATTAGCATAAGTCTCTAATTCCAAATGTAATAGACGGAGCGCAACAATATCGGCCATAATGCAAAGCGACGTGCCCATTGTGCAGTGGATTAAACAGCGAGTGATACGCGATTCTGCATCTCGCCATACAAGTCAGAAGAAACAAAGAGGAGACGTTAGATGAATTTCCAGCCATGTCTGAGCTGGAGCTGTGTGACTGAATCGAGCTGACACCGGAGTTGGATGTGGGAGCGGAGCGCACGGCGGCCCCTCTCTCTCCCAGCTCTGTCTGTCTGTTTCAGAGGACAACGTCGCCCCCTGGCGTCTGCTCTGTCTCTTTAAAAAAATCTGAAAGTAAGGAGGGGACCATAATACTTCATCCTAACTGTAGTGGTACTTTTTAAAACTTATTAACGCCACTGTGCAACTTAGTTAACATGATCCATTAAGAAAGGTGTAGCACATATTTCCAGGGGTGAATAAAGTTTTTAAAAATGCTAAAAATCTCTCTGAAAAAAGTATAAAAACTGGAATTAAACTATAGTATTTTATACAACTTTTAAAGTTTTTTTCTTCAGACAAATATACCCTTTTCCCCCTCCATATACTCCCTAAATGTGATACCATTGATTTTATTGTGTCACAATATGCAGATTAGTAGAGAGATCCAGTCCAAACATAACTGAGTTAAAATAACAAAATCAGGAGTAGTAAAATATACTACATGGGAATACAGTGGGCTGAAACTTATGAATTATTCAACTGAAAAAGAAAGACAAATAATAATAATTTATTTCATTAGGGCTACAGTCTGTGCAGAGTTTTGCATACAAACTGCCGTGTAGCACACCTGTGAAGCATTAAAAACAAAATCTTAAACATATTTTAGTATTACATAGACAGAGATAATCTTTTCCTCATTTTGTAAATAAGTCTAAATCCTTGTCAAACAACTCTCTGCTTACTCTTACACACCACACATTCACTTTTGCAGTGAAACTGTGGTTTTTATTTTTATTTTATTTTTATTCAACCAGGTAGGAAACCATTGAGATCAAGATCTCATTTACAAGGATGACCTGGCCAAGAGGTCGGCAGCACACGTCACAATAATAAATAATAATAAAGAAGGAGAAAATGGCCTTCAGAAACATAATTAAAAAAACAGGCACTGTTCCATGGTCTCCCAAAGTCTGTCATGTAGGATTGAACAAAATGCTTCCAGCAACATTAATTCCGACAATTTCAGGTCAGTCTGGAGAATATTCAATGCTGAAGTGGCAGCAAAACTGAATGCTTTTTTGCCCAGTTCAGTTCTGATTCACAGTGTTGTTTGAGCGCTGTGTGTAGTGGCTTTCAGTCCTTTGAAGAAGATCACAAAAATAAGAAGGAGCTGAGCCAAGAAGAACCTTATAAAATATAAGTACCCACAGGTGATCGCGGTCCTGATTCCTGAAAAGACCTCTGCTCGGATGTGAATGACACAGCACATGTTTAAGTCAAGAGTAAACATAGCAAAGGTGTTACTAAAAACATAAAGCTTGGCAAGTGATGGGAAGTAGAACCTGCAGATTAATGTGCCCTAAAATGCCCCGACAACTAGCTGCCACACTGAGATTGGATGGTATTGATGTGGGCTTTACACAGCAGCCCTCAGTCCATGATCGAGTTGTGAACGGGTGAATGTGTAACCATGGGTACAAAACTAGAGAAAATGCTACATAAATATAGTCCATACACAATTTACATTTATATATTATTCTTAATGAATTTGTATTCCCCAAACAAAAGAAAAGAACAAAAATGTTATGTTCATTATGGGGGAAACAATCCGACAAGTTCTAGAAACCAAAGGAGGCCCTTTCAAAATCCGAACAAAAAGAAAAGTAAACTCTCATCAAAGAGTGTGTTATTCTGGAGAGGGTGTGTTAATATTTGAGCCAAAGTGTCAAACAAAGTCTCTCTCCATTAGCGCTCCTTCAAAAACATACCCAGAGTTCAGGGATGTACGCTGCAGGGCAACAAGTCCAACAACAAACCACTCAGAATTAAAGAAACTTCAAAAAGTCAGAATGCTGTGTGAAATGTTGATGAAAACAGAATATGATTCAGAGGTCCGCAGTGTAGGGTTTAGGTCTGCTTTTAATGAAGTGCTTCCTGAGGGCTGTGAGCACTTGAGTCGTGTGGCTCCAAGCCTCCTATAGAAGTCCTGCCCTGGTTTGTCAGATGAGCAGATAACTGTGCCTTTTTCTCCTCCTTGATCCCCTCGGCGCACTCTTCATCTACTGTGTCCGTCCACATTGAACTTAGTGTAAATCTCTTGGCTACAGAGTCTCTAACATTAACTTACTATTGATACACTATGTCAACAGGTTATGCTCCGAGGGCCTGAAACTTTTGTTTCTTGGCAGTCTGACAAAGTAAACACCAACACTCTCACCAGGTAGCTGATAGCAACACTAACTACACAGCTGTCTGATATCCTCAGCTGGTGTGAGCTAGCAAAGCTTTCTGTCCATCAGAAACCTTTTCTCAATGAAAGCTGTGTGGGTTTTATCCTTATGTTGTGTACCCTTCCCAGTGAACACTGTGAAATAGCCCACAGACGTACACCTGAAACTGCATACAACACAACACAATACAAAAACTTTATTGATCCCCAAAGGTAAGTTCACTTGTTTGGAATCTCATGTCATCTACTTCTCACAGAAGAACCAAAAAGTCTGATGGCTAAGGGTACAAAAGATCTTCTGAGCCTCTCTGTCCTACAGCAAGGAGAAAGAGAAAGGAGAAAGGAGCTGTCCACCACCGCTGTTCCCTCGGTCCATCAAGGTGTCATGAAGTGATGATCCATGTTTTTAAGAATAACCTTCACATTCTTTAGTGTGTGTCTCTCCACCACATCCTTCAGTAAGTCCAACTTGATTCCAATCAAATGAAACTTTAAACCAAACATGGATCGTCAGTCGTTGCTTTGGGTGGGATGTAACTATTGTTATAGTATGACTGAACTCCTTTGGAACATGATATGTTCCAGCCTTTGCAGCTCCTTGGTTGAGTGCAGAGTCTGGGGTATAGTTTCAGGTATTGCAGTTGCTTTCCTTTTTCATTTGCAGCATTTCTCTGTGGTTAAGCTTGTTTTGGACTTGAGCAAGTTTTTTTTTTTTTAAACTTGCGACATTTGAGCATTTGCAGCACATTTTAGTGAAAGTCATTTGGTCTGTTGTGGATCATTTGCCTGTCTCATAAAGGACTGTGCACACATGTGTAACTTAATAGCACAACCTGAGAAATACCGGCTGAATTTGACACTAAGTGCATGGGATAACAATCACACACCATATGTGTAAAAGGGTTTTGTCGCGGGTTCAGTTTCTTTAAGTTCTTTTTCGGTTGTGGAGGGAAAGATGATGGCACAGTCGAGAACCGAGTACAGTGATTTCCTTTTATTTACACCATCTCCAAAAAAATACCCACAGGTGAAAACTCTTATGTACAAAAAATATTTACAAAAATTATTTACACAAAAGACAGAGGAAAAACTATTTACAAACCGCAATTCAAATACCAGGACCAACATACGTCTGCTCAACCAGGAGGCACACCAACAAGTGAGCTGAGCTCCTTTAAATACCCCTTGGCCCCTCCTCCGGACAAACCAATCAAAACAATCTAGGGGTTTTTCAAGATATCAGCTATTATATCATAACTAATATTTCTACATACACAAAATAATACAAAGCAATTACTGTTGCTCACACCCTCCACATGGCTGAGCCAATATTAAACCCAAACACAATATTTTTCCTATAAATCAATTTGTTCCCGGACTTTGGTTTCTCCCTGGGTCACCTGACCCGCGGAGGCACGTCACCTAGTGCTACTTAACAGGTGACCCGGAACTGCCTCTGTTCAGTCCATGAAGCGGAGACAGAAGGTGAGTGTGTATGTGTGTGCGTGTACGTGTAAGCGAGACCCGTGTAGGTGTTTGAGTGTGCACCCTCTAACACCAACCACGGGGACGCAAGAGTCCAATTATTGTTTTTAAATGTTCATTTTGACTCCCGTCCGTCTGTCACTCCAGCCGCGAGTGACCACGCTATTCCCCCACGTCGGCGCCGAGCGACGAGGGAGAGCGAGAGGGAGAGAAGGCGTCCAGCCGCGAGAGAGAGCGTGCGTCCAGCCGCGAGAGAGAGAGCGGCCAGCCGCGAGGGAGAGAGCGGCCAGCCGCGATGAGGACGGCGTTAGTGGCGCCCCGCCACATTACCCCTCTCCTCCCCGAGGTTGGCGATGTGCGGCAACCTTGACAGATAGTCTGCCACAACATTGCTCTTGCCCGGCCGATGGTGGATCCGGAATCTGAATGGTTGGAGGGAGAGGTACCAGCGGGTGAGACGACTGTTGTGATCCTTCATCGAATGAATCCACGTCAGCGCCCGATGGTCAGTCTCCAAGTCGAACTCCCTCCCCAGCAGGTAGTATCTCATACTCTCCAGGGCCCATTTGATCGCCAGGCCTTCCTTCTCCACCGTGGAGTACCTGGTCTCCCGTGGCAGCAGCTTGCGGCTCAGGTACAGCACTGGTCGCTCCTCCCCAGGTTCACCTTGGGCCAGGACTGCCCCCAGTCCCACAGCTGAAGCGTCCGTCTGGACCAGGAACCGCTGTCTGAAGTCAGGGCTTCTCAAAACTGGCGAAGAGCACAAGCAGGCTTTGAGAGCGTGGAAGGCCGTCTCGCAGTCATTGTTCCAGATGACAGGGTTTCTCTGGTCCTTCGCTGTCAGAGCTGTCAGAGGCGCTGCGATGGTGGCAAACTGTGGGACGAACCTTCTGTACCAGCCGGCCAAACCCAAGAAGGACCTCACCTCCTTCTTGGTTCGAGGGCGTGGGCAGCTGCGGATGGCCTCCACCTTGTCCACCTGCGGCCGGACCTCCCCTCGTCCCAGCCGGTACCCCAGGTACTCTGTCTCCTCCTTAGCCCACTGGCATTTGGCTGGATTCAGTGTCAGGCCTGCCTGCTGGATCTGGCCCAGGACTCGCTCCAGGTGATGCAGGTGCTGCTCCCAGGTGTCACTGAAGATGACCACATCATCCAGGTAGGCAGCACTGCAGTCCTCACACCCCCGTAGAACCTGGTCCATCAGTCTCTGGAAGGTGGCGGGTGCCCCATGCAGGCCAAAGGGCATCACCGTGAACTGGAAGAGGCCGGAAGGTGTCTGGAACGCTGTGTAGGGACGACTGGATGCTTCCAAGGGTACCTGCCAGTAGCCCTTACAGAGGTCCAGGGTGGTGATGAACCTGGCCCGGCCAATCCTCTCCAGCAGCTCGTCGATCCGTGGCATCGGGTAGGCGTCAAACTCCGACATTGCGTTCAGCTTCCTGAAGTCGATGCAGATGCGGAGGGAACCGTCCTTCTTCACCACAATGACCACTGGGCTGCACCACTCGGACTGCGACGGTTCGATCACCCCCAGGCGCTGCATCTCTTCCACCTCCTTCAGGAGCTTGGCCACCAGATGTTGTGGCACCCGGTAACTCCTCTGGCGAACTGGCCCCTTGTCTTTCAGGTGGACCACGTGCTCGATGAGGCCGGTCCTCCCCGGGCTGGCAGCGAAGAGCTTGGAGACCCTCTCGAACACCTGGCACAGCTGGCTGGACTGGACAGCAGAGAGATGGCCCAGAGCAGGTTCAGCATACTGGTGGCGGTCGGCGAGGATACACTCCTCCTCCCCTTCACTGTCCCCCTCCATCACCAATAGGGCCGCCACAGGGCCCTGAGCTGGAGCCTCCTTCCACTCCTTCAGCAGGTTGATGTGGTAGACCTGCTTTGCCCTTTTCTTGTCCGGGTGGTGGATCTCATAGGTCACAGGGCCCATCTTCCGGAGGACGGTGTACGGGCCCTGCCACTTGGCAAGCAGCTTGCTGTTGGAGGATGGGAGGAGGAGTAGGACCTTCTGGCCGGGCTGGAACTCTCTGCGTCTGGCATGTTGGTCGTACCACGCCTTCTGGGCCTGCTGGGCTTCGCGCAGGTTGACCTCGGCCTCCTCCCGGTACTTTGCCAGCCGGTCCCTCATCTCCAACACGAATTGGACCACACTGCGGTCACTGGTGCCTGTTGCAGGAGCCTCCCACGTCTTTAGAAGCAGATCCAATGGCCCCTGTACCTCCCAGCCATACAGTAGTTCAAACGGGGAGAACCCCGTGGAGGCTTGGGGAACCTCTCGGTAGGCGAAAAGCAGGAAGGGTAACCACTGGTCCCAGTCTTGCCCGGTGTCAGACACAAATTTCTGCAGCATCTTCTTGAGGGTTTGGTTGAAACGCTCAACCAAGCCATCTGTCTGAGGGTGGTATGGGGTGGTCTTGATTGTGGAGACCCCCAACTGTCGGTGGAAGAGCTGCAGGAGTCTGGAGGTGAAATTAGTCCCCTGGTCTGTGATGATCTCGTCTGGAATACCCACCCTGGAGAACAGCTGGACCAGGCAACGCAACACAGCCGGAGCAGTGACCGTGCGCAGGGGAAAAGCCTCAGGGAAACGAGTGGCATAATCACAGACCACCAGGATGTACTGGTGCCCTCCGCTGCTCCTCACCAATGGGCCAACAATGTCCATGGCTATCCGCCTAAATGGAGTGGAGATCACGGGTAGTGGTTGGAGGTAGGCACGGTCTGATTGGCGGACAAAGCAAGTCTTCTGACAGGTGGGACAGGTTTTACAAAATGTTTGTACATCCGCATACATGGAAGGCCAGAAGAACCTTGCAGATATCCGCAGGTAGGTTTTGTTGCGACCAAGATGACCAGCCCAAGGCAAGGTGTGTGCCAGGTGCATGATCATCTGCCGACATGACACAGGAACCACCAGGCGTCTGACCTCATCTGTCATCGCATAGAGCACATTATTGTCCACAACAAACCAGTCTTTGTCCTTCTTTGCTAGGTCCTGTCCCCAAACCACCTTGGCGAACAGGGGCGTCAGAGTTGTGTCCTCCCTTTGTAAGGCCCCAATGTCCTCTGGCACATTCCATCTGTCCTTTGCCAGCCCCTTTTTTCGGTCTGGCTCCTGGGATTTCAGCCCCTTCTCAAACCGCCGCTGACGGCGGGACTTTCTGGGGCCCTTTGTGCCGCCCTCAAACAAACCACTGTCCAGGGTTGAAAAAAGTTCTGGCTCAGGGCCCTTTTCCTGCCCTGGGCCGGTTGCAATCCCCGCTCTGGCCTGGGCACGGGTGATCACCAGCCCAGAAAACCCTTTCCCCAGGTCACTGGCTGTGGGTCCTGCCTCCAGCAGCACGTCCAGTAGCACTGGGAAGTCCCAACCCAGGATCGCAGCCACAGGCAACCTATCCACCACCCCCACAGTCAGCAGATAAGGCTGCTCGTCCACTACCACTGTCACCTCAGCTGTGGGGTAGGAATGGCTGTCCCCGTGTGCGCACAGAATGTCTTCCTGTCTGCTATAATCCACACTGCCCGTTGGCACCAGCTCCCTTCGCACCAGCGTCAGGAAGCTCCCAGAGTCAACCAAAGCAGTCACACATTCCCCATTTATGGTTATTTCCTTGAATCTTGGTTGCCGTCCCCCAGCACTTGCAACCTCCGCTCGGGGAGTGTAGCAGGCACTGCTAAGCTTGGCTTTTCTGATGGGGCACAGAGCAGCCTTGTGTCCTGCTTGCTGGCAGTAAAAACAAATAAGCTCCTTACCAGGGCTGCGCTGGCGAGGTGCGGACCGAGGTTCTCCTGTTGGATGCTGGCTGGCTCTGGCCGCTGGTCTGGGCTGTGATGAAACCTGCCGACTGGGTCCACCCTGGTTGACTGTCGGGCCTCCCCTCCGTGCGTTAAGGTACTGCAGTGTCAGCTTCCCTGCAGCTAGCCCATCCGTCGGCTCATGCTCCTTCACCCAGGTGCGGATGTCAGCCGGGAAGACCCTCAGCAGCTGCTCCAATATGACCTGCTCCCCGATCTGCTCCTTTGTATGCTGCTCTGGCCGGACCCATCGACGGTAGAGACCCTTTAAGCGGTGGTAAGTCTCTGTGGGGTTCTCTCCTGGTGGGACAGCCATGGACCGGAACTGCTGGCGATAAGTCTCCGGGGAGACGTCAAATTTCATCAGGAGCGCTGCCTTCAGGTCCGGGTAGGAGTGAGCCAGGTCCTCATCCATCGCTGTGTAAGCCTCCAGCGCCTTTCCAGTGAGCAGAGGCACCAGGCGACAGGCCCACTCACTGTCTGGCCAACCCCACGTTCTGGCAATGCGCTCGAAGCGGAGCAGGTAATTTTCAATGTCCTCTCCCGCCAGATACTGAGGGATCTTGGGGTCACCCCAGGGTCGGCTCTCAGACCTAGGAGGTTCTGCCAGGCTACTTGCCCCAATCCTTGGTGCCTCCACGGGAGAACTGCGTCGTGGCCGAGGAGCTGGAGTTGGTAACTCAAGACGGAGGCTCATAGTTGATCCAGCAGATGGCGGAGTGGTTCTTGGTGCTGGACTTGGTGTTACCGGCCTCCGTTCTGCTTCAGGCTGCTGCAGTGGAACTGGTAAGGCAGCTCGAAGCCCTCTGAGCTCTGCAAGCAAGCCCTCCTCTCTCCTCTGCTGCCCCTCCAGGAAAGTTCTCATCACTGTAAGCAGCTCCGCCCCAGCACCTGAAGTTCCCGGGTCTGCCTGCCAGGCAGGCCCAGCAGCACCCTCTTCATCCTCATCCTCTGTGGCCCAGGCTGCTTCCTCCACAGCTTCTTCCACTTTTTGTGACCGCAGTCCGGTCCGTCTTCCTGTGAACCGGATGCGTCCCCTTCGACTGGCCATCCCACTTCTGACACCAAATGTCGCGGGTTCAGTTTCTTTAAGTTCTTTTTCGGTTGTGGAGGGAAAGATGATGGCACAGTCGAGAACCGAGTACAGTGATTTCCTTTTATTTACACCATCTCCAAAAAAATACCCACAGGTGAAAACTCTTATGTACAAAAAATATTTACAAAAATTATTTACACAAAAGACAGAGGAAAAACTATTTACAAACCGCAATTCAAATACCAGGACCAACATACGTCTGCTCAACCAGGAGGCACACCAACAAGTGAGCTGAGCTCCTTTAAATACCCCTTGGCCCCTCCTCCGGACAAACCAATCAAAACAATCTAGGGGTTTTTCAAGATATCAGCTATTATATCATAACTAATATTTCTACATACACAAAATAATACAAAGCAATTACTGTTGCTCACACCCTCCACATGGCTGAGCCAATATTAAACCCAAACACAATATTTTTCCTATAAATCAATTTGTTCCCGGACTTTGGTTTCTCCCTGGGTCACCTGACCCGCGGAGGCACGTCACCTAGTGCTACTTAACAGGTGACCCGGAACTGCCTCTGTTCAGTCCATGAAGCGGAGACAGAAGGTGAGTGTGTATGTGTGTGCGTGTACGTGTAAGCGAGACCCGTGTAGGTGTTTGAGTGTGCACCCTCTAACACCAACCACGGGGACGCAAGAGTCCAATTATTGTTTTTAAATGTTCATTTTGACTCCCGTCCGTCTGTCACTCCAGCCGCGAGTGACCACGCTATTCCCCCACGTCGGCGCCGAGCGACGAGGGAGAGCGAGAGGGAGAGAAGGCGTCCAGCCGCGAGAGAGAGCGTGCGTCCAGCCGCGAGAGAGAGAGCGGCCAGCCGCGAGGGAGAGAGCGGCCAGCCGCGATGAGGACGGCGTTAGTGGCGCCCCGCCACAGGTTTGCATACAAAGGCCTCATATTATTTTTGTTATGCACAGCTGATTAAAGATATATGAGCGGTGAGTCTTTGTTCCTCAGATTCTACTCAGGAAAAATACGGCCCTGAAATTCAATGGCATTAATTCTATCAGAATTACAAGTTAAGATCTTTTGATAGATTTGTTTGATATTAATTGGGCCAATCACCAACAGAAATCCCAGGATTTGAATTTTGAGGAACATGTCAAAGAGAGGAGATCAATAAAGAAACGTTTCACCGTGGACACTGCTCAGTGCCTCTCCTTCCTGCAATAATCAAGCTGAAAAGAAAACTGATCAATACAAAGCAAACACAGTTTGTTGCTAAAATGTCCCTCTTCTGCTTGATTGCACTATCTCATAGGGCCACAGAGCAAAACACAGAAACACTGTGATCTTCTTTATGGTCCTCTGTACTAATAGCAGGGACTCTTCATTTTTTAACAGGAGACTTAAGCTGCGTTCCAGTTACCTCGGAAGTCAGATGCCAGAGCTGGGAATGACGCTATTTCAGTAAACAAGTCGGAAAACCAAGATGGATGCCTATAGATAACCATTGTTAGCTTTTGTTTACAATTGTCAGCTGTCATTAGCTGTTGTCAGTTGTTGTTAGCGGTTGTCAGCTGTTGTTAGTTGTTGTTAGCTATACCAGTTGTAAACAACGCATAACATAGTATTTTACTTACAAACACCATAGCACCGTGCGCACAGTTACACGTTGGGCAGTACAACATACACTCACCGGCCACTTTATTAGGTACACCTGTCCAACTGCTCGTTAACACTTAATTTCTAATCAGCCAATCACATGGCGGCAACTTAGTGCATTTAGGCATGTAGACATGGTCAAGACAATCTCCTGCAGTTCAAACCGAGCATCAGTATGGGGAAGAAAGGTGATTTGAGTGACTTTGAACGTGGCATGGTTGTTGGTGCCAGAAGGGCTGGTCTGAGTATTTCAGAAACTGCTGATCTACTGGGATTTTCACGCACAACCATCTCTAGGGTTTACAGAGAATGGTCCGAAAAAGAAAAAATATCCAGTGAGCGGCAGTTCTGTGGGTGGAAATGCCTTGTTGATGCCAGAGGTCAGAGGAGAATGACCAGACTGGTTCGAGCTGATAGAAAGGCAACAGTGACTCAAATAACCACCCGTTACAACCAAGGTAGGCAGAAGAGCATCTCTGAACACACAGTACGTCGAACTTTGAGGCAGATGGGATACAGCAGCAGAAGACCACGCCGGGTGCCACTCCTTTCAGCTAAGAACAGGAAACTGAGGCTACAATTTGCACAAGCTCATCGAAATTGGACAATAGAAGATTGGAAAAACGTTGCCTGGTCTGATGAGTCTCGATTTCTGCTGCGACATTCGGATGGTAGGGTCAGAATTTGGCGTCAACAACATGAAAGCATGGATCCATCCTGCCTTGTATCAACGGTTCAGGCTGGTGGTGGTGGTGTCATGGTGTGGGGAATATTTTCTTGGCACTCTTTGGGCCCCTTGGTACCAATTGAGCATCGTTGCAACGCCACAGCCTACCTGAGTATTGTTGCTGACCATGTCCATCCCTTTATGACCACAATGTACCCAACTTCTGATGGCTACTTTCAGCAGGATAATGCGCCATGTCATAAAGCTGGAATCATCTCAGACTGGTTTCTTGAACATGACAATGAGTTCACTGTACTCAAATGGCCTCCACAGTCACCAGATCTCAATCCAATAGAGCATCTTTGGGATGTGGTGGAACGGGAGATTCGCATCATGGATGTGCAGCCGACAAATCTGCGGCAACTGTGTGATGCCATCATGTCAATATGGACCAAGCTCTCTGAGGAATGCTTCCAGCACCTTGTTGAATCTATGCCACGAAGAATTGAGGCAGTTCTGAAGGCAAAAGGGGGTCCAACCCGTTACTAGCATGGTGTACCTAATAAAGTGGCCGGTGTGTGTATACCACTTATTTAATTTCACAAAAATAAAACAGAAGTACTAATAAATAATACATTACTAGAGCTTTCACTGTTACTCTTTACTGTTGATGCACTGCACTGCCATCTTGGATTATGACGTTGTCGTCAAGTCGGGGTTGGTGAGGGTCGTCTGACTCTCTCAGTAGCAAATCGGACTTCAGGGGGGCGTTCCAGATGAATTTCCGACTCGGAGCCCAGAAATCCCAACTTCCGAGTACAACTGGAATGTAGCATTAATGTACTGTCTGAAGGCCTAAAGCAACTTCCCCTGCCTTGATTTTTGTCTTTTTAAATGTAAATCATGGTCAGTTTTGTTGACAATTAAACAAAGTAAATACAAAAACAATGTCATTGCTATTTAATTACCAAATCCATGTACACCAATCATTAGATATTTAAATAAAAAGTATAAATGCCACAATCAAAATACATCAAAAGGCCAAATTAACAGTCCGCATTACACAATTCAAATAAAGGCTGAAAAAGACAGTAGTCTTATTACTTTATGGTGTATATTACCAGTAGCTCAAAAATAATAGCAATTTACTTAAAATATTGCAACGTTGTTTCGAAAGTCTAACAGTGATCAGTGGGAATAGAGCAATTATACAATTATATTAACTCCCTACCCTTAGTGAATGTGATCTGCCTTTTCTGAACCATGTGGGCTCTTGTCCTGACTTTGGAAAGTTTGGTGATCTGTGAGCTAAATGAGACGATGTACCAAATGGATGGTTGTGCCCTCAGCCTAAAAAGATGTGTGTGTGTGTGTGTGTGATCAGTGTCTGTCCCAGACCGCTGCAGGGTAACTTCCTGCCCTGATGTCCATTACTCAGTTTGACGGATGGAGGGAAAGCAGAGGGAATGGAGAGGAGAGGGATGGAAGGAAGGGAGGAGAGATAGAGTTCAAAGGAAGCAGTGGTCAGTAGATTAGGGTAGGATGGGCGAGGAGCGTGAATGAGGGTATGGATGGGGGAACTTAGGCCTTGGGAGGTTGAGGTGTTAAAGTGAGATTAGTGGAGGTGAGGGAACATAGTAACAAGAGATGATGATCTGGGATCTGGGCAGGAGAGAGGAGATGGTGCAGATAAGAAATGGAGGAGAGGGTGGAGGGAGAGGATGAGAAGATAAAGCTGACAATATTTTGCTAATTGGTTTATTTCTACACCGTAAATCCATCCCTTTTACTGTACATACATCCCTTGCTGTCAGTGAGATAATTTTCAATTCTTGCATCTTTGCGAGAAGTGGAAAAAAAGCAACTATGAAAAAACTGGTGTCATTTAAATAAATGAAGACCTGAAACTGTATTACAAAGAGAGAAAAGAAGAGCAGATCAAAATTTAACAAGTGCAATGAGATGAGATTTTAAAGCAGGGTTTCCTGACAAGTTACATGATTTTACTTATTTTTGTTAGTGTCTCTGTTTTTTTACTTCACACTGATGCTGAGGAAAAAAATAATTCTTTCAATAACAGGTGCAGCTCAAAAATTAAGTGGTGCCAAAAAATGAGCTTTCTTCAAGCTTTACCCATAAGTTAATGGAAAAAGTGAAATTTCCTTATATTCTAGATTCATCACACTCAAAGTGAAACATTCAGAACTTTGTTTGAACCTTGATGATAACAGCGTCACAAAACCCCAAAACACAACATCGCAAAACTACTATAAAATACCCATCCCCAAAAAAATGGATTTACAGTACAGGAATGTCAACTCTCTGGGAAATGATGTTCATTTATGCTCTTAGTACTTGGTTGGAGCTCTCTTTGACACTGATTGCCCCTAAACCACATCACATTGATCCAGCAATTCATGCAGAGATATGGAATCAGATTTTTGTCAAAAACAATCAAACAAAACCACTTCAACATCAAACAAAAATAAGAATTTGAGAGAGAATAAAATTCACTGAAGCAAAAAAAAAAGTAAAACTTGTAACTTGCAAACAAATTATTTGTACAATTGTGTAGACTACTGTCTATAGACTACTATCTTTTTGTGTCATTTATGTTGAGAAGACCTTGTAGAATAAACATTTTATCAACCTAAACGTTTGACTGGTGAGGGATGTCATTTCAATGCGGAAAATGCAAACCTATGATGACTGATTGACTTGAACTGTGTAAATACAGTGTTCTGTGGTGATCGAGCCCACTGTATCATTTAGCATATATCTACACCGAGAGGAAAACAAGCAACTAAAATCAAAGGGTTTCACTGAAACTTCTGTCTGCCGAAATATGCGTCCACCTCTCATTCAGCGTCATAGAATGTAGTAGGTTATATTACTGTACAAAGGGAATCCACGCTGTCCAAATATGAGCTGGCAGCAGTTTGTGACTCCAAAAAATCAGAATTATAACTTATTGGGTGGATGCATTTTTCGGCAACAGCTGTTATTCTTGCTGCCGAAATGCGCATCCACCCGTAATTCTGGTTCTTTTTACAATAATATGACCTGTTACAGCCTATGGAGCTGAATAACAGGTGGATGGATATTTTGGCAGATAGAAAACAGCTGATAAAAGGTTCATATCATATCAACTTTTCAGTGAAACCCTTTGATTTTAGTTGCTTGTTTTCCTCTCGATGTAGGTATATGCTAAATGATACAGTGGCCTCGATCACCACAGAACACTCTAGTACACTCTAATTACACAGTTCAATTCAATCTCTCAAATTCTCTCTCAAATTCTTATTTTTGTTTGATGTTGAAGAAGTTTTGTTTGATTATTTTTTGACACAAATCTGATTCCATACAGAGATCCTTTATGGGGTTCAGGTCAGACCAGTTTACAGACAAGTACAGTAATACCATGATCAACAAGCCAGTTCCTGGTAGTTTAGACATTAGGGGCTAGAATTTCAATGAAGCTGTGGAAACTTCATACTTGACTTCAAGCACCTTGGAGTCTGGTCCCCTTTAGTCTTCCTCTGGACTCTGTGATCTTGATTTCCAAATGAGATGCTAAACTGACTTTAACCTGAAAACAAGACGGACCACTGATTAATCTAGAATAATGTGGACGTTTCACTTTTTTGACTGAAGTTATCCTGTAAAGAAGCTGCAAGTACAAACCTGTCTGCTGGTTTGCTTGTTTGCTTGTTGCAGGTGGGATAGAGTTTAACAGAAATTTTGCACTGGCACCAGCTTTAAGCTCCAGTGGAGTGTAGTTGATGGGAGCTGTAAAGGCGACCCAAAACACTAGTGCAATTAACCAAAACAGTGCCCGCCAAGATACTAAAACATCTCCTAAAGTAGAGGGCTGCAGATGTGGGGTATTAATCTAGAATTATGACATTTATCCACTCGATTACAAGGGCACCATTTGCAATTAGCAAGAAAATCATTTAACTTAGATATATTTAACATCTAATTAATCTCATCTTGTAAGCCATTTTAGGGACTCCACTTCTGAAGAACACTAACAGACAAGAACTTAAGAAGAAAATTAAATGATCTGTTCCTTACAGGATCAATAACGTTACAACATAAATGCAGTAAGTGATGATGAGATAATAGGGATAAAAATGATGAATGAATGAAAGACTCTTAATTAGGCTCTGACTATTGCAGTTCCTGACAGTGAGTAAATATTCTCTGACATATTAGCCTGCATTAACTGTGGTGTAGAGATGAATTTGGATGTGAATTTGGATGAATTGAGAATTACTCCAATAAGTGATTGTTTAAATCATGAACGCATGAGACAATATCAGCCCTTTTTGGAGCTCTGGAGGTTTGCATACTTAAGTGATGCTGGTCCTTGGAGAGGATGGTGCAGGTACACCGAAGGTGTGGGCTACCAGCAGTTTAAGAGGTTTGGCTCAGAGAAGGACTGAAGTCAGCCTGAAGATGGGCAAGGAGTCACACATAAACCTGAAAGCAGAACCGGCACCTTTAGTATTCTTTGGTCTAACCATAAAACTCTGGCTCAGAGGATGACTTTGAGCCCGCTGTGTGACATTCAGAGGCAACTTTGGAATAATGCAGATAACTAAGAAAAAGAAGCTTGATGGCCAGTCAAAACTATTTAAGAAATGCCTTTGAGAAATTAAAGGAAACTAAGTTACAGGCTTAATCTCAAACGGCTGTGTGCAAAAATAGTTTAAGTTTTAAAACGTGAACTAAGAAAATGTCAAAAAAAAAAAGTGACTGAGCAGGAAAGAAAAGAGTCTGAGAGAGTAAGACTAGGAGATTCTGATTATTTGATCCATCTTTAGCTGGTAAAGGAGTCAGATCTGATACCCACTTACTATGATCAAACCTATTGAATACTTTGTTTACATTAAATGATTTGATACTGACTCAACTGTCTGCTGATGTTCCTCCTAAATGACCATGGGGCTTAATGATTGTGTGGGTGTGTAATATTTGGATCGTGATTAACTATTGTGCTAATGTGTTGATTGTGATCTTTTATCTGGTGTTTCTTCTTTATGAATGGCTGTAAATGTGTCTGTAAATGTCTTGGTAACTGTTCTGCTGCTTGTCTTGGCCAGAAAAGAGATCTTTGCTTTTTCCTGGTTAAATAAAGGTTAAAAGAAATACTAAACATATATGAGAGGATGAAATAAAATCAGGTTACACATTATTCTCATCATGTTTAAAGAATCACTGATAAATTAATCTGAAATGAAATAGATCATAACACATAGAAACCTTTAAAAAACAAAAGTAAACATATATATTTGAACTTTTTATTATTAATATGGATTTTTAAATACTTGGATTCAATCATTTAATGATATTAGAACCACCTGATGGTTAAAAATGCCGAAAAACTATCAAAATCTGAACGAAACATTTCTAAACTATTGCTGGTACTTGGAGTTATGTTATGATTCATATGATCCTAACTCTTCAGAGTTCATGAAACAGTGTGGGAGAGAGCTTTGAGTTCAAGAAAATATGGCTTGAATCTGACAAGTTGAGATCTTGGCTTAAGGACTACCAAGAAAATCAGGACACACATTTCATGGTAGGACAAAATATTATATTGTTTAATGAGTCAGATAATGAGTCAGTCATTTTCATTCTTTCACCAAAGGAGCTCATGATCTCAGCAGTGAATGGTAAATCACTTAAATAGCAAAGTTTTATTTTATTTTTTTCCTTTTCAACATTCAATATGTGTATTTTCAATGTTTTCAATTAAATTAGGGGTATCAATTCTTTGCAAACTATCACCATTTTCTATAGATTCCCCGAGTATTTCGGGACAGGGGTTGTACATTAATATCATTTACCATCAATTCCTCTCTTCACTTAAAATGCCACAGACTTACAAAGCCCTAGAGCACAAATTATCCTCAGTTATGCTCTCCTTTTCAGCTGTATGCTGTTATTACCATCAGTCTAAAAACAGCTCAATAAGTAATCTGTATCTGTCTCAGCTTGGCCCTTGGCTCTGATGCGCTCCGCTCGGGGTCTGTTTGGTTATGCAGTGATTGCCTCCTTCCTTGCCCTCTTCACTTGCTGCCTTCGAGCATCACAGCTTTGGCGTACACAAAACTGTATTTCTCAGTCTCCCCAGACAGTAGACCAATCTATGTGCTCATATTCATCTTAGCTGGAACTGATCTGTTCTCTGTCTAATGCACTGGCCTTTCCCCAGAGGTAAGGTGAGGCCCCCATCATATTCCTCCTACTCTCACTTCTCTCTGTCTCTCTTTCTGGCTTTTTAAGAGAATAAAAGATTGAATGCAGTGAGAATGGCACAGACACTTAGACAAATATAACCATCAGGATTTATACTTAACACGTGCATGTTGCACGACCAGGTTCAAAGTGACATGTGAGCTCTGCTTGGGAATGATTGACAGTAAGCCCCCTCTTGTTGTTAGAATCAGGGGGAAATGCTTGAAAGACTCAGGCGGGGGGGGGGATTGGTTTCCATCAAATCCCTTTTAAAAATGGATGATTCGTCTAAATGACTCAGGAGGCTATCTGTCCCACCTCAAACACCCATCAGAAAATAGATGTTTGTGTTCAATATCCTTGCTTCTCTCCCACTTTAACTCTACTCATCCCTTACTGCAGCCTCATCCAGTTCGAAATTGTTTTGTTATGTGGTTGGCATAATAAGTTATTATTGATCTCCTATGAGTGTTGCATTTGAGTGTGTGTGTGTGTGTGCGTGTGTGTGTGTGTGTGTTTGTGTGTGGTCACGAGGCCTGTGTCTTCAGGCTGTCTATATAATATCTGCTAACCACTCTATTTCAGCTGAAAGACAAGGAGATAGAACAATAAACGTAGAAGCTGATACTCTTGCTACTGTGATAATTGAAGGATTCATGGTCTAATGGGTGTGCAAACCAACACAGTGATGGGGCGGTGAGTGAGAGTGCAGAGGGTTGTTTAATTTGTATTTCTTTCACTATATTCAGAGCACAAGCTGAAATACTAATACCTACAGTTTCTAAGTTCCTCTGTAAATGTTTTCTCTTTCCTTTGGGTTTTTGTGAACGCTTGAGCACATCTTTGTTTATTCAAGCAGGGTTACATTCAAAGTTCTTGACATTAGATTGGTTCTGCAAGAATGTGCTGTATGTAATTCAGTATATCCCCAAACCTCATAATCATCAAGGTACAGCTTGCTTCTTTGCTGCATTTAAGGCTCAAAACTCCTGGCAGTCAATTAGGGGCTGTTGTGTGTGTCAACGAAGCGGAGAGAGTTTGCTCGCTGATATTATGGCTAATTAGCTCAACTCAGCTCCCACAAGACAGAGAGGGAGACACTGAGGTATTGTTGTGGTTTCACTGGTGTTCCAAGCAAAATCTCTTAAGTCTTCACTGCATAATCCTCTTCTCAACATTTCCTCAGCTGAAAGATATCACCAAGAGCTGAATGTGGATGTCTTTTACAAACAGGAGTGAGCTGAAATGACTGGAACAATACGGTGTGCCAAATTTGTTCAAGGATTTGAAGGAAAACAGTTGATACTTAAAAAAACAAAACTTAATTTACCTAGCTACAGCATCAAAGCTCTGTTTGCTGTCTTATATCTATAGGACGCTCATCTCTCAGATGCAGAAAGGTTACATTACAAAACTTGATGAATGTCGCCAAACCGGGTCAAAATTAATGTAGATTCTGTCGGAGGGTCTGACAACCCACTTTCCAGAGGTTTTGGACAGGGCTCTGTGTGGTGGACCCCTCACATGGATGCACATGGGAAAGGTAACTGTTAAGGAAGAGGGCAGTTCAGGAGAGACCAAAGGGGAATCAAGAATGCTAAATAAAACAGAGCAAATAAAGGAAAAAACTGAACAGGACCAGTTCATGACATTTTCTTAACCAAAGTCTTAAGCAAAAGCAACAAAGGAGAAAAAAGAAAATAGAAATTCACCCCTGCAAAAAAAAAGAGTAAAAAGAATAAACTCAACATTTCATACCTTCACAAATCAAAAGTATTTTTACGGGTGCTTATAGAGCAGAAGACAGGATGAAGTGCTGTGGGAAACTTGTCTTTGATAAAACTTACCCTTGTCTTTTATTTCAGGTATGTTCACTTCCACCTCCTTGTGTGTCCTGCGCCTTGAAACCCTAATATGATCCACCTGTGCCTGGTCATCCCCTCTCTCTGAGTGCATTAAAGCTCAGGCTCAGCCTTTTGTGTCGGTGGGTTTTGTACCTGAGTGTCAGTGTTCCAGCTTCATTTCCCTTATTTTCCCTTGGTGTTTTTGACCAGTTTTATGTAAGTTGACTTTGCCTTTATGCTTGATGTTTGAACACATCTGCCTTATTAAAGGGGCTCTTAATTTTGAGACAGTATTCGCATTTAGGTCCAATTTTTAGCTCGATTCAGATGGGTAGATATAACTAGAATAAGTGCTATTACTTTCCTGCATTAACTTAATCTTTGAACTCTGCAAAAATAACTAAATCTCACCTCTCTGCCTCCTTTATCCATCTAGTACGATGGCCAATAGGGACAGGCAGCACAGTTTTATGGAGGACTGGTTCCTGATGGATGGACACCATGCTTAAGTAGCCAATGCTAAGTACAGCTTACCAAGTGAGGTAGTTAAATGCTGAGTTCCAGTTACCTCGGAAGTCGGAGCTGGGAATGACATTAAACCCAAGCTGATGGCGTTCCAGTTAACAAGTCGGAAAACCAAGAATGACGCCTACAGTTAGCCATTGTTAGCTGTTGTTTACAATTGTCAGCTGTCGTTAGCCGTTGTCAGTTGTTGTAAGTTGTTATAAGCGATACCAGTTGTAAATAACACATAACACAGTATTTTACTCTGACATACACCATAGCACCGTGTTTACAGTTAGACGTTGGGCAGTACATCATATAACACTTATTAGAAAAAAACAGAAGTGCTAATAAATAATACCTTATGAGAGCTTTCACTGTTACCCTTTACTGTTGATGCCCTGCACTGCCATCTTGGATTATGACGTTGTCGTCAAGTCAGGGTTGATGAGGATCGTCCGACTTTTTGAGTCAGAAATCCGACTTCAGGGGTATGGTCCAGATGAATTTCCGACTCAGAGCTCGGAAATCCCGACTTCTGAGTACAACTAGAATGCAGTAAAAGAGCAGCGAGAAATATCAAAATGACTGGATTGACTTAAGTATTAGCTAACAAATTTGTCTCAATTATGGTCTGTGCTGCTGACCTCTTGGCCAGGTCCCCCCATGTAAATAAGATCCTGAGCTCAATGGGACTTATCTAGTTAAATAAAGGTTGAATAAAAAGTAAAAGAAAATAATGTCCACGTTGAAAAGGCCCTCCATTCATTCATTCAGGTGTCCACTCATTAAAATAAAGTTTCAAAGAAATGTGAAATAAGTCTGTACTAGACTCTGACCTCAGGAATGAAAAAGACTATGTGGGGATGGGAGAGAACCCCCAACCCCACCCCTCATTAAATGAGACCTAAGCAGGGTTTAAGTGGCCCCAGAGTACTTGGAGACAAACCCAGTGAGTTTTCTGCTGCTCTGCTGAGTGCAGCTTCTTCCAGCTATGAGTCTCAGTTAGCTGTGCAGCTTGTGGTGAAATCAGCTGACTCTGCCCGGTGTCAGGCTCTGAGGACATGGGCATGTTAGCTGCAGAGCTCCATTAGCCATGCAGGTAGAGCTAGCTCCAGGCATCCTGGAGCAGCCTCACAGAACCAAAGCTGAGGTCTCCCAAGGTGAAGAAAACTGATGTCTGACATCCCTCTCACTTCTTTCCCACTCTCAATGTGTTTTCTGCATTACAGGTGTCAGAGTCCAGATCAAACTCTACCGGCAACTGCCAGTTTAACCTCACTGCCTGATATCAAACCACGCCGCTCTGTTATCTAAATGGCTAGTTCGGTTCCTGGTCTTTCCCTCTGCCCCATCAACAATAAAACGCCTTCATTTAGCGCCTCTACAGGCCTGAAGCAGTGCCTTTTAAAGTCTTGGTTTGCAGTGTTTATCTTCTGTAGTTGTCTGGTCAGGTCTTTTTGACTTGAAGTTGCTTGTACATTTCAGTGTTTTGCTATAAATGCAGTTGTTTTGGCTTTTTGCCACGTTTTTTTCTTTATTCAGTGTGTTACCACTGTTGCAATCATTATGGCGTGTTGCATGGTCTGTTATTTGCATCATTTCAGCATTTGCAGCATGTGTCTCCAAATGAGGATCTCTCGGGCATTTGCAGGTCATCTGCCCTCGCTGGACACAATCATTAAAGGTTAGATGATATTTACAAAGAGCCCATGGAAAGCCATATAAGATGATAAATGAACCAAAATGTGGTTGAGCTTTCTTCTCAAAGCCTCAGGTTATGCCTTTATCAGTCATCAAAGTTGTATAGACTGGTATTAACCTTCCTCATAACCTCTGACTTCATCCAGAGATATCCAATACATGTAGATCGCTGGCATTGCATGAATGTGATTGAGAGTAAAGCCAAACAAAACTGTTTTGTGGGAAAGTTTCAATTTTCTGTCCTCAAATTAAGGATGAGAAAACCAAAATAACAGGAAAGGCTCCATGAACTGAAGCCGTAATTCATCCTCGTGAAACAGGCAGCTCCAGTGGCAGCGTTGCATCCGAAACGTTAAATGTTAAATGGTTTGTCTGTGATACTAATTCAAAGGCTCAAAGTTTGAGTGAGCTGATGCATCAGTGCTCATACAAACGGCTTTGGTGCAGATGAGAGAGAAGAGCGAGAGCAGGAGAGGGGGAAAAGAGTTTTTGAAAGAGTGAACAGAAAATGATGAAACGAGGTTGACACACTGCAGTTTTGGTTGGCTGAGTTGGATGAAGGGAAGGGAAGGGGTAGAGTACAAAGATACAGGTAGGCAGGGGCTGTTATGTGAAGGATAAGCAGGTGAAGACAAAAACTCACATGTTGGCAGCTGTGTCTCACGAAAACCGTTATTCGCAGCAAAGGCATTTGGAGCGTGCAAGCATCTTTTTCAATGGAAAACACACTCTTGAATGCAGCACTCACCATTGAGCGCCACTGATGTCACCATTGTCAGACCACAGTAGTCCCTATATTGCCCCTCCATGTCCACCACTCCTTCTAGACATGCCGTGTTTACACACCTCAGTGTGCCTTCTGTGTGTGATTACCACAATAGTAACAATCAACAAGAGGGCAATCCATCAGCTGTCGGTCCTGCTGTGAAGTTTTAATTAATTACATGGAGGGAGAC